GGCAATCTGCACTGATGTAATTCTTCTACCAGTCAAGCTCAGCTTCTACTGAAAGATTTACTGTAGATTTCAAAAAGAAAGGACCAAGACTAAGGCTGACTGTTTTTCAAAGGCCATGCCAGGGTATCTTTAACATAAAAAAAAAAAGTCTCACTGTTAACTTGCTTTGTAATACCTCTATTTAGAGAGAGCAGTCTTACATTTGACATATTGAGCACTAGGTAAATATTTATTTCTCTCAAAACAGCTCTTCTTTGGCTGCTTTGGTCTCAGCTTGCTCCTCATTTTGGTCACTATTTAGATTAGTGATCTGCAGGGATTTCAGATTTCTCCTCTTCCTTTTTTCTATCTTATCTTTTAAATAAAGTGTTCTCTCTCTGACCTGTGTATCTTGTTTCCCTTTACTCTGGCTAATGTGGTCACCCAGCAGTAATGCCTGTGAGGTGGTAACATAACATAATAATAGAAATACTTCAGGGTTTATATTTTATGGTGTGCCTTCTAGAATCTTGGTCAGCTAAAAGTGCTGTCGTATCCATAACACAGCTACACAGGAGTACTAATGTCTCATAAAATCAAATTGGATTTTGCACATATTTCCCAAATTGGGATAAGCCTTTGGAGAAACTTATGGACCTTAGTTTTTGTAGTGTTTATTATATAGGTTAGAAATAGAGATAATTTTTGCTTCCACAGTTTTAAGAGAAGAGATTATTTTTAAATATGTGTTTGCCTTGTGAAGATAATCTGGAGACTGGAACTTGAAAAGCACTTGAATTTAGGAGAAATGAGTGCCATTCCTGTATTTCATAATTGATGGCCTTTTAAGTATCTTCAGCTAGCTGATCTGCAGAACAGGGAATACTAAGTTCTCAGTAGCTGAAAAAACACCTATGAAATGCATGTGTTGATGTTTAAATTTTTATTTTAACATGAAATTTCCCATTTCTCATGTTGTTACTTTGAGTCACAAAATTTTAAATATGTTTCAAGAATAACGTTTTGCTAGCTAGCATTGACAATCTTCAGAAAGATCTCTGGAAACTGCACAAAAAAAAAAAAAAAAAAAAAAAGAGGATGCATTTTTAAGGGTAGTTGTTAAATACTGAAAACATATATTCAAAGCTAGTGTTTTTAATGGTACTTTTGAGATTAGAAATTGTAAATATCTTGATATGGTTTACATAGGATGAAAAGGGGTTAGACTAACCTACATCTAAGCTTTTGTTTCAGATCTTTTTCTTTTTTTCTTTTCCATGTCTTGTTGCCCTTTGACATAAAAACAGATATGATGTCTTTATTCCAAAACTTCCTGGGAAATATATGCCTTCCGAAAAAAAAAAAAAAAAAAAAAGCCATGCGCTTAGGACAGAAAAAGGAGACAGCATTTATTCTGTTATTGTGAATAAAAGCTAAAAAATAGGAAAACCATTCCTCTGCCATTTTTCTTTTCCTTTCAAGATTTCCATATTGGCTTACAAGCCACAAATCTGGCTCATTAATGCACATTAATGTTGCTATAATTTGTTTTATTTGTAGGAACTATTACACTGTGACAAATTTACTGTTGTTTTCAGCTACTTCTCCATTATTAATATACTAGCTTTTACATTAATGATATCAGAGGAGCAATAATGTTGTTGCTTCCTCTTGATCCTTGTCCTTTACCTACTAATTTTGTCAATCATCATTATCAGTCAAGTTAAGAGTCTGATTCCTTCCTGTGTGCTATATCTGTTCCTACCTCAACCTATCCTAGTTCTCACAGAGAACTTTGCATTGGTGTGTTCTTTCATTACTCAGTTGTCAGTAGTGTTTTAGTTTCCCATTACTATTATTGTGATATTGTTCCCATGATCCACTACTTTTTCTCCTTACAATAAGGGACATATAAGGAAAACACATTTATTTAGGGATGCAAAAGTGACTAAATAATTCAATATTGACTATATAGCTTATTTGCAGAACGGAAGCTCACCTAGTTTTAATTACTTAAAAATTAGAGTCTGTGTTAAAACTTTTATCTATTAGATTGCTTTAGTCAATGAAGAAAGAACAGTTGCCTCAGTGAGGGAAAATTCTTCCCCTCACCATTAGATCTCTAAAGTTAAATGAAAGTCTTTCTCTTTCAGTGCTTGCTGCTAGCTCTGTATTGACTTCTGCTGAATTAAACTGGGTTCATCACAGATTTCCTTTCGGGATACTCTTAATCTGCCCCACTTTTTATTATAATCTATTGAGATACGCATCCCTCTGATTCTGACGTAAGATAGGATTCTCTGATTCAACATCGGAACTTCTGGAAAAGTACATGAATGTTGCACTTAGCTACGTGAAGTTAGGAAAAGTAGTGATTGATACAGAAAGGAAATTCAATCCTGACATGCAGAATTTTTCTGGATCTGCTTAAACAAGGGGAAGTTGAAGATTCTTGACAAGATTCTTGAAAAAAAAAAAAAAAAGTAAAAAAAAAAAGTCTTACAGGTTTGGGGAAAGGTAATATATTCTAGCTTTGCCTTCTGTGCAGATTTTATTTTTTTCACCACAAGAATTACAACTGCTTATGACAAGAGTTAATTTTTGATTACTTTCCTGATATGGATTAATTCAGATGGAAACAAATTGTTTCCCAACAAGCCATTTAAATCATTTCATTGAACAGTTAATATTAATACATGTTTCTGAACTCTCTTCAAGGTTTCAGTGAAATCTATGGATTTTTATTTATTTATTTTGATTCTATGCTTATTGGAAGTCAGAATTTAAATTACGAATGCACAAAGCAGCATAGATATTAGTTCATGAAATAGTAATCTAAAATACCTCATGATCTATTTTGCCAGAATCTTAGCACGATCTTCCATGTAAAATAAATGTATCAGTTATTTGATTTCATTCAGTTGCCCTTTGCTGAATTATTTTGTGCAGTATACATGCTGTCTTTATAGTGATCATCCCTGTGAAACTCTTATTTCTTGACAGCTGTTTATATGAAAGTTCTTGGGTAGTCTCAGACAACTCCATAAGCAGATCTTCACACTGCCAATAAATCTTCCAATGTGAGAAGACCTGCCAATGCGAGAAGAACTCAACTCCAGATTTTTCAGCAGTTGTCATTCAAATATAAACATAGAACCCTATTTTGGGCAGTGCTTAAGGACTGAAAGGAGAGATCAGTGTCCAGCTGCCTTCTCTGCCTTCCTACCTTGGACATACCTTAAACTAGTGAAGCTCTGTATCACCTATGCCATTGGGAAGTTGTACTTGTTACATGACTCTGAAATCTCTTTGTTTGTGTATTAGATCAAACTGTATGGCTTCAGAGGGAAAATGAAGACATTCCTCCTTCACAGCTTTCACTTGACTAAAAAGTACAAGTCTTTCCAAAACTGCTGTTTTAATGATCACTTCAGGGAATCAGGTCAGTCATTTGTTGAACATTTTTGTGACCTACAACATAGTATTTTGACCATCCCTAGACCAATTTAAAGAAGAGTTACTTGTATCTTTAATACAGTATGCACTTCTAAATTTTTTGGATCTTTTCTGAGAACATCAGGATAAAAAATACCCATCCTAGACAACTGAAGATCGAACAAGTCCACTAAACTGGATTATCCTGGAAATCAGTGAAAATAGAGTGTATACAAAGTCTGTGTAGTCTTCTGTTAAATCAGAACTCATCTGCCAAGCTATATCTTGCTGCTGCAAATGTGTTTTGCAAGACATTTACAAAAAAAACAAAACAAAACAAAACAAAACACAACAGTAGTGTTGTGTATTATGACATTCAAAATCAAGCAATTTTAAGTAGTGGGTTACACAAACAACTACGTTTTTAACTACTGTAAATACTGATACCTTATTTAGTAAATCATATGTTTTTCATTTCATATGAAGTTTGACACTGTCACATATTTTCCTCATCCTCAATATGTGCAGTTAGAAGAGTTAAAGATAAGTAATGTGCATTTATTTATTTTTTATTTATTTATTTTGATGTACAACACTGCTGGAAAGCTGTGCTTCTATATGAGTTCCTATTTAAAATTCTGTTTATTTTGTAAAAATAGGCTCTTATTCTGCTTCTATGCTTCCACTGCAGATCTGTTGATTTGTTGTTCTGCCTCCTGATATGAAAGTCTTCATAGCAAAAGAGACAAATCACACAGTCGTCTAAAAACATCTTCCATAAGAAAGCCAATTTCCATTTCATTTTGACAGTGGAGGGCAAGTCTCTGTAGGTAACCAAAACATTTTCTCACAGATTGGTAGCCATTAATAGAATGTCAGGCATTAGGTGTGTTTGTGATAGACTGGATATTAGAGGAATTATCTGAACACAACATTCTCTCCTTTCTATGTCAGCAGACTTTTCACCCTGTACTGGAGAATGATTAAACAAGAAAATAAAAGCAGCCCAATAAGGCCATAAATCCTGTGGAGCTGAAGATGTGGATGCAATATAAACCAAATAAATTGTGAATCTGTTAGGCTTCTACCTCAGCAAAGGTAGAGGCAGAAGCCTAACAGCCTAATCTAAAATTTCACCAGTATGACTTCAGTAAAGTTTCTGAAAAAAATATTGAATATCAATATTTAAGGTAGCTTTTTAAGCAGATTAAAAAAAAAAAAAAAAAAAAAAAAAAAAAAAGATATGGCTTTCGCTATTTTTCTCATAACTGCAAGTGCAAAGAATTACCAAAAAAAGCACGTAGAGACTGTAAATCCAACAACATTATTTTATTTTAATTTTCACTTTTTCACTTTAAAAAAGTGAAATAGTGCAAATCTGGTAACCACTCTTGTATTTTTGTGGTTATGTTTATTTTTTATCTGGAACAGAAACTTTATCGCTTCCTTTCTGAAGAGATTTCTTCACATTTGCATATCTTGTGCGTAAATATGACTGTTCAGCAATGTTGTAAAAAACTGTAAATGAAGTTTTATGGTGTATTTAATCTACAGGCGTCTCCTATAAATAAACAGATATTCTCGTGTACTATTGCCCTCCTTTTCACATTATTTGTGTCTTATGTCAGACCTTAGTTGAAACAGGTTTTCAAGACAGAAATGAAGCCGAAAAAGTCATCTGATGAGAAATATGTTCCTCTTAGTTGCTATGAAATTTGGTTTGCTTCTTTGCTTGCACTTTTTGTTTGTGTTTGTGTTGGGCTTATTGTACTTTCATGGTTAACAATCCAGGAGTTAGAACGAGGTAAGTAACCTTTAACCTGTTCAGGAGTACATCAGTAGAAGTTCAGACTTTGAAGACAGTGTCATTGTAATTCTATTTCATATTTCATGCTATGCTTTTAATGCTTTTGGATAGTTGGTTTGTTTTACACTTTCCTTCTTTCCTCCCCTGGAAATTGATGTAAACAAAATAAGCAAAAATACTTGAAGTATGTACTACGAAGTACAAAAAGTACTTGAAGTATGTCTGAAGTAAAATAATTTTCATGTCATAGACTTTGGGAAAGGCTTTTGGAATGCAATTGACACTGTAAGGCTTTGGTTATTCAGTCATATTTATCCAATAGTGAACATAATATTGCAAATTGTTTGTGAATTTCTGCTTTTTTCTCCATGTGTAATGTTTGACTCTTAAAGATAGTCATAATCCACTGGAGTCTCTGGGGAATTTTAAGGTGTTCTACTGTTCTACAACTCAAAATCTTTTTTTTTTTTTTTTTTCATCTTTTAAAATTTATTGGTGTGAGAGAGACAGTCAGCTCCTAGCCTTGTGAAAAGTTAATAGGAGGTATTTCTTCCTATCTAGACAGTGCTCACAATGTGATAGTCATATTACTTATGATCAAAGTAAACTAAATTTAAAAAATCTACGTAGCAAGATTTTGAGATGGAACTGAAAATTTGATTTAAAGATTTTTTGAGGTGTATGTTGACTGTGCACTGGAAGGCCACACCTGGAATGCTGTGTCCAGTTCTGGGCTCCCTAGTACAAGAGAGACATAGAGCTTCCCGTGTATCTTTCTTTTAGAAGATGCATTACTAGGAGATTTATCACATATAACTAATAATAAAACACTTAAAACATTATGTATGTCATGTAACAACAAAAAAAAAACTTTTACTGTTTTAAAAAAATTGTTTAAATAGATTTGCAGTTGATGAAAGGGTAAGTGGCCTTTAAAGCAGCTCAAAGTAATCTACTGTTACAGGTTGATATTAGGAAATTGGTGTCACTATGTTGTGCTGTCCATCACAAGCTGTTTCTCAGTTATCTGTTGGTTTGTTTGTTATTTGTTTGTTTGTTTAATTAAAACTCGTTTGGGGTGTTAATACCTTTAAAAACAACCTAAAAATACCACTGGTAATGAAACTGGTAAGCAAAATGTTTTCTGTCAACCACATGTTAATGTCTTATTCAGGTCTTAATCTAAAAATTTCCAGTATGTTATACAGTGAGGATGCATTTTTAATGTAGAGTGAATATTTTTATGTATATCTCATATGCTATAGCATATTAAAAATCATGATCAAATTTGCAGTAAGAACCAATTATTTAGTTTTGTATAAATTCTCCTGGCATTTCATTTATGCAGTGGTAGGACATTTCAGGTCAAAAATAATTTAACTAGTGTGAGACAAGTGTTTCCAGTGTTATCATCAAAAACAATCTACATTTATATAAAAGCAACACTACTTTTAATACAGAAAATGTGAAGCAGTAGTTTTTAATATTTTTAATCAAGAACACACACACAAAAAAAAAACCAACAAATTCACAAACCATCATGCTTCCAGTGTCTCCTTGTCCCTTGTGCTAGACATAGATTGACATGCTGCACAGGTTCATAGAATCACAGAGTAGCTGATGTTGGAAAGGACCTCTGGATGTTATCTGGTCCAAGTCCTGTGCTCATGTAGGTCCACCTATGACTGCTTGCATAGACCCATGTCCTAAATGCTTTTGAATATCTCCAAGGGTGGAGACTCTACAGCCTCTCTGGGCAACCTGTTCCAGTGCTCAGTCACCCTCAATGTAATACCATTCTCCTTTATCTGTTCACAGTGCTGCCGAAAAGTTCAGCATTTTGTATGAAATAGAAAATGAGAACCAAGGACAAATAGTTTTCAATATCTATTTACAATTGTAGATACTGTACTTTAGTTGAAAATTGTCTCAAAGTTTTTTTAAAATCAGTACTAGGCAAATATCTCAATACAAAGCAAAACAGGTAAAAATTAGTCTATTGATGATCATTATTTCTATATAATTCAAATTACTTAATTTTATTTTTAATTATCCAGTTGAAACAGGTGGGAATAGTCATCTCTATGTGGGAACATTTAAAATAGTCTCTGGGACAACATTCACTCCTTCTTTGTACGATAGATCATCAGCTGACTTCAAAATCCTTGCCTTTGATGTTGAACAGTTGGTAAGAACCTCTTTATCTCTTAAACCAAGAGTATGTGATAGCTATATTAATTTCTTGATGTAACCTGCTGTTGATGCTTTTTTATTCTCTCCAAAATGTGATAGTTAAGGTCCTAAGCTCACTCAGAACTCAATATATTCTTTATCAGTGAAAATCCGTGAAGCATCAAAGAAAATGGTTGCTTCTGTAGTCAGAAGCAAGCAGCTCTAGGTGACCCTGCTCGAGAAGACGGGTTGGCCAAGTTGACCTCCAGAAGTCTCTTTCAAGCTAAAACATTCTGTAATACTGTGATATCAGTTGTTCTTTCTATAACTGTGATATAATTGTTTTCTGTACAAACATAAAATGGAAAAAAGTCAGTATTAAAACCATGAATGCATTGTGCAACACTGTATTTTCCATTACTGTATTGGTTCAAGATTTCTCTTCTTTGTACAGATACAAGACATTTTTCAAGCAAGTATTCTGACAAATGAATTTGAGAGATGTGAAATTTTCCAGTTCAAGTAGGTACAGTTAAATTATACTTCTCAAATAAATGTTGTCAAAAGTCCTCATTTAGCTATTTCTCTCAAAAGCAGTTAACAATACCTTGCTTTTCAAGTCATCCTTTGTATAGCATTCCTTTCACTTCTTATGTCTTCAAAGTGCTGCTGTGGAAAGTTTGGCACAGCTGTGTTTCCCTGGGCAAAATTCCTTCTCAGATTCCTGTATGTCTGTGCCTTGACCAAACAAGGCTGAGGACTAAGACTAACTCACAATTTTGTCACATTTTCTATATGTGACAGAATTGCTAACCCCCCTCCACCCCTTTTTTTTTTTTCACCAAGATTTTTTAGTTGTGCTACATTTGCAGGATTGCTGTTCTTGCCACCTAGAAGGAAGTTCAGGACAGTGATCTCCTGTTGGCATAAACTGAGATGAATGGAAGTGCGCTCAGATGTCCCTATGGACAAAGATGTATTTATTTCATAACCCTTCAGGTGTTTGCACGGGGGCTGTCACTTAACATCATGTAAAGGATGTAAATCTGCATCCTGTGTGTCTTAGAGAGTCAGTAAGATAGTAAGAGCTGCTTCATTTATTAAATTTTTTTTGAAATAATTTTTCAATATCTTCTTACTTTGGTTGTCCTACAGAAGGCTATATGGCAAATATATATATATATATATATATATTAAAAAAAAATAAATCTGGTAAATGGAGTGAGATCTGTGGTATTAATTTCACCTGCACTGTTCTTCATAAGGTCTTGATTCTACAAAACAAGTGTAATGCTGTCTCCCATTATTTAACAGTTCCAGAACACTCTTCATAAACATTTTTTTTTTTCCACCTACAGGAAGCCTGAAGAAATTCATGAAAACTTCAAGTCTCAAACTGGGTAACTACATAGAACAAAATACATAGGCAAGAGAATAGAAAAAGGATATTACTTTAGAAAATTACTCTGTGGGACAATGAATAATTAAAAAATGTATTTTAGGAGTCAATACGCTCTCTGAAGAGCATATGAAGTTTGATATAATCCATACCTTTCCTCCAAAAACATCCTTCAAGATTAGAACAAAAGAAAATGTAATAGTCCCTGGGATTGTCAATTCCGAAGAAAAATGGGAAAAGTAAGAACAGTGGCATAGATAAGAAACTAACTAGAAAAGAAGGTATATTGTTTTGTGCTACGCTTGCTTGTGAAAAACTACTTATACAGGGGGACTGATCTATATATTATGTGTGATCATATGTAACCTATGTTACATATTTTTTTAGCAGAAAAAGTATTTCTGCTAAAGAAAGGTCAGGTGACACACTATAATAAGCAGGAACAAAACAGAAAAGATCAGGGCTATAGGAGAACTGAAAGACCTTGAGGAATGAATGACAAAATTAGTTACCTTATATGCAAGATGAGGCAGTTAATTAAAAAGTGGTCATTACATGACAGTTGATGATGTTAATAGACATTTTCTCTGTAGAAAATATGAGAAAAGGAGGAAATCTATATATGACAATACAAGAGGTAGTGGGCACAAGCCCACAAAAGAGGACCCATCTGAACATAAAGAAAACACTTTTTGCTGTAGGGGTGACTGAGCACTGGAACAGGTTGCTCAGAGAGGTTGTAGAATCTTCCTCTGTGATGATATTGAAAGGCCATCTGGACATGGTCCTGGGCAAGCAGCTCTAGGTGGCCCTGCTTGAGAAGACGGGTTGGCCAAGTTGACCTCCAGAAGTCTCTTTCAAGCTAAAACATTCTGTAATACTGTGATATCAGTTGTTCTTTCTATAACTGTGATATAATTGTTTTCTGTACAAACATAAAATGGACAAATATTTAGATAAGATGGTTCAATTGAATGACCATTCTGGCAAAAGAAAAAGAGATATTTGCCAAGCACACGTATGCTGAAAATGAGAAGCAGATTTGAAATAGAGCAATCGTTTGATTGAAACAGTGAGGGCATAAAACTAATTAGAAAGAGGTGAAGTATGATCACATTATGAAGGGCTTTATAATAAGAAAGAAGTAGACAACAGAGGAATAAGTCCCTCCCAGGCTGTTGCCCCTGAGTGGATAAGATCCAAGTAGCAAAATTCTCAGGTTTCTGAGCATACAGTAGGCCATACTAAAAATTTTGGTATTGAAGATAAAGATATCTCAGAGCTAGTTGCTCAGGACTCACTTTATAAGTAATGGGGAACAAAAAAAAAAAATAAAAAAAAATGTTACTTTTAGAGTTTTCTCATCTAGTATATTTAAATGCCTTTTTAGGAAGAGATCAAAGAATAGCTCATTTCCTTCCATGAACTACAATGAAAATCTAGATATCTGCACTGTAAATATCTATATTTGGTCAAATGAATTCTACCTCTGTATCTCAACACTGAAACAACAGAAGTCACACAAAATCTGATGTCTGTGAAAGTTAGATCTTTCTTTTAATAAATCAGAAAGTATCTGTCCTCATTTTTACTTTGAAATAATACTTGTTTATCTCATAAATGATTTTCTGTTTGACTCTTTTCATTAAATAAAAAGTTATATCCCTTCTGGCAACCTAATTATTTTACCCTTGAGACTCTGCTGAGTCACAAGGATAGCAATAAAAGCTTTTGTTTACTCAGCATGGCCTAGAGGTTATCAGAAACAAGTAAGAAATTAAAAAGGAGAGTTCTTCCATATACTGCAAACTGTGTTCAGCACAACTGCAAGCTTAATCACCCGGTATCAAAAAGCACTTCTGAGTCTGATGCCATTGGGTATTATAAATGCTTAAGAATAAAAAAGGTTATACCTAAAATTAAGTAAATGAAAAACAAAACAAACAAACAAACAAACAAACAAAAAACAACGATCATATTTTGACACTACCTTAATTTAGCTACAAATATAGAATGTTATAATAGTGTCTAGGAGGGATGGAAAGAGACTGAATTCTAGATAAAATTCAGGGAATTATGGAAATTAAATATAGTTTAACCACTTATTTCAAAATATCTGATTTCAGTCTTTAATGATTCCTTATGAGAATACAAATAATCACACACAGTATCCTTATGGATGCAGAATCCATACATGATGTTTGATATATAGAAGTGATCAGTTTGTGTTATGTTTTTATGATGTAAACATTTCAAGGTTCTCAATTAGTATTTTAGAGGTTAAACTAGGACACCTGTTCAATAACTAACCCACATCTCCTTTGGTTGACTTGAATTCAGCTCCATTGCAGCAATTGATATCAATGCTGTTATTTTTTCCTTCCACAGTGAATATAAGAGCTGCAAAAGAAAGAATAAATGTTTCTCTAACATTTAAAACGACCTGATAATTTAGAGCTATTTCTTCAAGTATTATGTTGACCAGCCAACACTTTATGGTACTTTGAGTTTTCAAATGGAATCCTGAGGTAGAAGGGACCCACAATTGAACCTTTGTTGGAAGGAAATATTGTCAAAGTATTAATTAGCAAAATTTCAGATTTATTGCATTATCTTGCTTAACTAATCATCTTTTCTCTTTTATATTGCTAGTGTTGTTGTGATCTTCCACCTTTATCTTACCCAGAGGGTAACGGTTGAGAAAATAAAAAATGAGTTGCTTTTGGGTATTGACGCAAATACAACTGATCTTGTTCAGACTTTGAAAATTGATATGAACAGCATACAAATCACAGGTAATGCTAATAAACATTTATCTTGATACAAAACTTTGAGAACTACAGTTAACATGTGTAATATCTTTGGATCCCAGCCATCAGAAAGATTGTTATGCACATGGGTGTACTCCTTCTCTACCACACAACCTATATGAGCAGGTGAAAGAACTTTGTCACCTAGAAAGTATGAATCAGCTTAGCATATGTTGACTAAGGAAGGAACAAAGGACAAATTAGTGATTTTCAAGTCATAATCACTGAATTTAATCTCTTTTATGTAACATAACATTTGTAATTCCGTTGCCCCTCAAATTAATGCAATTAAGCCCCAATTGTGGTGTTTCTTTAAGTAAATGCAATTATCATTTTGTTTTGCTAAAGAATATGGAAAAGGGCTCAGCCTCACAGTACGTGAGGACTCATTTATTGAAAAGATGTCAAAAAGAAAAACAAACCAAATACAGAATGTATCTTCTGGAGAAGCATGCCCAAGGAATTGACTTCAAATTTCTCTGATACTTAGGTGAAATGTAAATGACTAAATTAGTGTAATACTAATAACTAAATTAGTATATAGTGCAGACTAAATACTGTAAATTTAAAGACTAAATGCTTTAGTGTTAGCGATTAGTATTTAGCGATTTAGTATTTAGTATAGACTAAATAGTGTAAATTTAAAGAGTAAATGATTTTAAATTCAGCAAATATGCAAATATAGTGATTTTATGCAAGTATGAGAAAAATTTTCAAAGCCTAAGTAGAAGCCCAGCAAAATCAATGGAAATCTTTCTTTTGACTTCAATAAGCATCCAAACAGGCCTTCATTGGAGGTGATGATAATATGTAATTTGAATCGTTTGAAGTGGAAGATGACATCTTAAGACCTGATGGAATTATTATTAAGTAGCTACCAATTGCTTAAGAGTGGGGCATCTGTTGTGCAACATCTTACCTTATTCCCTAAGGTGAATTCTTTGCTAACTGCTTCAGATATTCCAAGGGTAAACTCAGCATCTTGATATCTTTATTTTTCTTTACTACTTGCATCATGTATAAGTTGTTCTAAATAACTGCAAATCACTGTGGGAAGTGATTGCTTATTGAGCTTGAAAAATGCCACCAAAGGAAAATAATGAAGAGCCTTTTAGAAGGTTATATATCTATTGATGAACTTCCAAGTAGTCAAACTTTTCTTGATGTGCATCATTAAAATGTCTCTCTTCACATGAGATTTCATGTGTCCATTCCATCAAGAGTGCTGCAATAAAGAACTGTAACTAATCAAAAATCATAATCATACATAGCACTTTTACTTCCTATATGTCATTATGTTCTGCAAGAGAAGTTTTATTTCTATTTCAAAGGGGGAAGGAAATATAACACTGGAATCAGGTATGATTTGCTTGAAATCAACTTCCACAGTGACTAAAAGTAACTTTCTTTCTTGCAAATCATCCCAGGTTGATTTTAACTCATTTATCTGATGTAAATACTGTTTATGACACAGGTGCTTTGAGAAGCTCCTTTGTGTCAAGATAGACATTTTCCAGATGAAGACATTTTATGTGTGAGATAATCAATCGGGATTGAAGATAGAAAGGAATTAAGAGACATTGTCTTCTCTGGAAGGTCAAAGTTTATGAAAAGGCTGGGAATATTGTGAAATGTTCAGAAGGAGGGATGCAGGACACTACTACTGATTCAAGAGAAATAGTCACAGCTCTTGTTTGTTGTTTGTTTTTTACCTTCATTTTCCTGAGTTGTATAAAACTAGATACTGCACTATAAAAGGAGTTTATAATGAACTTGCTTTCTTCCAGAGTTTGCTGAAAACCTTACTACAATGCTGCCTTTAACTTCATCAGGTCAGTATCCTTCATAAAACAGAAACTATTTTTTCTTATCAGTACAACAGAAGAAACAAGAATTGTTGTTCATGCTATGGTTACTGATATACTGAGCAGTGTTAATAGACTTTTCAAGTCTGACAGTTCCAAGTCAGAAATTGTTTGTTTATCAATCAAACATTACTGTTTTGTTTTGTTTTGTTTTGTTTTGTTTTGTTTTATTTTATTTTATTTTATTTTATTTTATTTTATTTTATTTTATTTTATTTTATATTTTATTTTATTTTTGAAGTTAGTGACCTGTATGGGACTACGTATAGAAGAATGATATTTAAAATGCACTAGGGTTCATATCAATTTTCTTATGTTTAGTCTAACATTTGACCATCATGATCAAACCAATTAAGGTGGTGTTACTGTATCATTACCTAAGCTGTGGGTTTGGGGATACCAAACATAGTGAAGATCTCATAAGATCTGAATATCTGCTTCTTGGTTCTGCCAAACAAACAAATAAACAAAACAAAACAAAACAAAACAAAACAAAAAACACACACAAAAAAAAACAGGGGGGCTACAAGAGAGCACAAAGTAGATTTCTAACACAGGGTTTGTGTTTGCCCAGGTTCAGGACAACTCACCACAAGCAAGTCCACAACTAAGTCCACAACTCCAGGTAGGTAACCTCATATGGGGAAAAGCAGGGTGGCTAAATGAAACAGCCTGAGATCTTAGAATTAGACTGTTTTTGTACGTTCCGTTCTTATATGAATTCTCCCATCCCATTCCTGCAAATATACAATATGCAGATTTGCCTTTTATTTGACTAGGGAGACCTAGTCAAAAAAAAAAAAAAAAAAGAGGGAACTTATTAGACTGTACATTCTACAAAAAATGCTTCATATATTATACACATACTGATATGATAATATTGTTTATCATTATTATTAATATGATAATATTGATATCACAATATTGATACACATTTTGAATGCTAATTTTTGCTTCATAATATTTCTTCATGGTTTTGGTAAATCTGTAACTGATAGCAAATTCTCACATTGCCTTTGATAATGGAAAGACAAAGCTATTCAAATCTTTGAAAACATCCTCCAGTCTTATTAAATGGTGAATTATATATGATATTTATAAGCATTTTCAAACTGGTCTAATGTATTTACTGCCATTTCTTAGTTGAGTACAGAAATCATATTGCAATGTAGGGTAATTTGCTGTTTCAAAAAGAAGTCAAAATATTTTACTAGAAAATGTTAATTTCTTTACATCCAGTAGGTGGCAATGCTGTATAGTTTTATGAATTGAAGAATAAAACTAGAATTGATCATGTCATTTTTAAACAATGTTTTCTTGTGTATTAGGGTGTACAAAACATACTCTGAGATTATTGGTAGAGGTTTTGTTGTTGGTCTAGAAAGCACAGTCCCATCTCTGGTCACCTCCAACAGTTGTCTTAAATATTTATTTTTGGTTTAGTTCAGGTACCAGTTGGATTCAAAATGGCAGCTCTTTTGCTTTACACTCTTTGTGTTGCTAACATGTAAAGCATTTTGTAAAGCAGTTTGAAACGCTGTGTTACATCCAAACAAATTCCAGTCTTTGTCACTTATACTGAATATATTACACATATTTACTTAATCTGATTAAAGACTTGCATGAAAAATCAATCAATCAATCAATAATGTCTAGAGGTTGCAAGAGACTGCTGTTTTACAAATTAATATTTCTGCTGCTTGCATAAGAAATTTTAGCTTCTACCTCTGAGCATTTAATGAAGTAAAGGAGCTATGTAGAGAATTGTGCATTTTCATAATATTTAATAGAAAGTTCAAGAATTATTAAATTATCCTACTTATCCAAAGCTGATATTAGCTGCATGTTTTTGTTTACTTTAATATGGCCTACTACTGAGTTCTGCAGATATTTAAGACTTTTACATATAGTTTATAATCTCTGGATGAACATTTACATTCTAACAAAATGCTGTCAGTGAGATTCAACGGTTTTTAACCTTCATTTTCCTGAGTTGTGTAAAACTAGATACTGCACTATAAAAGGAGTTTATAATGAACTTGCTTTCTTCCAGAGTTTGCTGAAAACCTTACTACAATGCTGCCTTTAACTTCATCAGGTCAGTATCCTTCATAAAACAGAAACTATTTTTTCTTATCAGTACAACAGAAGAAACAAGAATTGTTGTTCAGTTGGTATAACTTAGTAAAGCTGAAAGCTGCATTGACTGTAATTGAGTCTTGACAGGTAGAGTCCATTCAGTGATAGTTAGCTGATCTTCATCATTTCTGACCATTTGAGAAACCAGTGATCTGAAGTCTGTAAAAAACTGTAAGAGTTTAATTGGAGGGTCAAAACAAAAGTTGTATCTCTGTCAAACAACTGAGTCGTAAGCTGAAGTCTTTACAGATTCAGACAGGTAGATGACACTGCCCAACCTCATGCTATGGTTACTGATATACTGAGCAGTGTTAATAGACTTTCATTCCACTGACAGTCTGGAAATCTTATGACAAGCAAAGATAATACTTGATGTTTTATGAACAAAGTATTTTTCAGTAGTCTAACATTTAGTCATTGTTGAGTAGTCATTACTACTCCTTATTACCAATGGTACAGCTGAAGACTGATAATATACTGTTTTTCTCCTACCTATCATTTCCTCTGATACGCTGTTTCAATGTGCCTGTGAGTCCTAAGGTCTAAAGCAAGAAGAAAATGGGAGTGAGGGGAAGGTGCCAGAGGAAGGGGGAAGGGAGCTGGCATCCCAAGCTGGAACTGGAAAAATGTTTCTAGCATGGATTCCCTCCTCCTTGCTCTGAGGAAACCTGCTTGAGGTCACAGAATCATCAAATATCCTGAGTTGAAAGACACCCACAAGGATTGTCGAGTCCAACTTCCAACTCTGTCATTTTTGTATGCTCACTAACACTGTTGGTTTCTTTGTTCTTTTTCAATTCAAAGCCCACATTTTACCCTATGTGGTATGTTTACATCTGTTGGAACTTGGTTGTGCTCTCTCCGTTGAGCCTAAAACCAGCTTTATCCACCTCACATGTTCCTTAGATTGCTTAGCGATTGACAACATGAGATTTGTGCTTGTACTACTGATGCCTTGGGCACTGTCCTATGCTTTTATTCTTGTGGCTTTTGTTATCAGCTTGCATGTGCACTTTTGGGAGCACCTGAGACAACCCCATTTTTTTCTCAACACCCTTCAAGGTGTAACTTCCTGATACTTGTCCTATTAGAAAACCTGCTCGTGCATGCATCCATGTTTCAGGTCATTGAATGGATCATTCTTCCCAAAATAATGGTCCATTAAATGATGCATAGACAGGTATGTATATAGGTAGATACATACGTATATAATTCTTTACAAACTACTGTGAGGCTGTGAATGATGTCCTTCCCTGAATGCAGCTTTGTGAGAACCATCCATCCAGATGCACTCTCCCTGCACCTTCTGCTGGGCTCTCCTCTTTGCCAGAGGAGCTGTGCCCTTGCGTTTGCTGACATGGATAGAACATTACTAGGAAGTCTTCTTGCAAGTTTCTGCACTAGTATGTATAGAAAGGCAGGAACATCTAACAAAAGTAACTGTCTGTAATGTCCAATGATCAGCAACTTCTGCCAGCAAAAGTCATAAACTGGTAGTATAATATAGAGAAGTCCTTACTGTACCTCCTACTATTCCTTCTAGCCCATCATCTTATCTTCTGAGAGAATCTGTTGACTGTAATGACACACAAATTTAAGTCTTAATATATTAAGTAAAAATAGTACAGAGGCATACTAATGCAAATTCAAAGAGGAAAAAGTGACCTTTTGAGAACCAGAAACTCCAGAGACATCCTCAGTAAGAGGAAGATTATTATTTTTAAAAAATCACTAGTGGGAAAGTGTGTTGGAACAATAAATCCATTTTTTTTTTTTTCCAGAACATTTTTCAATTTACTATCATTAATACAAATCTACTTGTGTACCTGAGCATTTGATTATTTCTAAATATGCATAAACATTAGGTCTACGAAGTTGGTGAAGGGCCTGGAACACAAGTTCTATGAGGAGTGTCTGAGGGAACTGGGGTTGTTTAGTCTGGAGAAGAGGAGGCTCAGGGGAGACCTTATTTCTCTCTAAAACTACCTGAAAGTAGTTGGGAGTAGTGTGGGGAGCTGGGGATCAGTCTCTTCTCACAGGTAACCAGTGATAGGACTAGAGGGAACAGCCTCAAGTTGTGCCAGGGGAGGTTTAGGTTGGAAATTAGGAGACATTTCTTCTTAGAAAGAATGGTCAGCTATAGGAACAGGTTGCACAGGGAGGTGTGGCATCATCATCTCTGAGGGCGTTTAATGAAAGGTTGGACCTGTCACTTAGGGACATGGTTTAGTGGGTGATATTGGTGGTAGGTGGATGGTTGGAACAGATGATCTTGAAGGTCTTTTCCAACCTTAATGATTCGGTGATGAACACGTTTATGTACATATACTGGAAATATGACATATTTCCAGTATGTAAGTGTACAAATACTAGACAGATTTGTCTCCTCGAATGCTGAGATAACCTATGTGTTAAGCAATGTTATTTATATTAAAAAGTACTTATACATTTAGTACTTCTAATAAAGTCATAACCTGTCTTTTTCCAGCAGATCCCGTGAGTCTAATTACAAGCTCCCTGACATCAGTTCCAAGTCAGAAATTGTTTGTTTATCAATCAAACATTACTGTTTTGTTTTGTTTTGTTTTGTTTTGTTTTGTTTTATTTTATTTTATTTTATTTTATTTTATTTTATTTTATTTTATTTTATATTTTATTTTATTTTTGAAGTTAGTGACCTGTATGGGACTACGTATAGAAGAATGATATTTAAAATGCACTAGGGTTCATATCAATTTTCTTATGTTTAGTCTAACATTTGACCATCATGATCAAACCAATTAAGGTGGTGTTACTGTATCATTACCTAAGCTGTGGGTTTGGGGATACCAAACATAGTGAAGATCTCATAAGATCTGAATATCTGCTTCTTGGTTCTGCCAAACAAACAAATAAACAAAACAAAACAAAACAAAACAAAACAAAAAACACACACAAAAAAAAACAGGGGGGCTACAAGAGAGCACAAAGTAGATTTCTAACACAGGGTTTGTGTTTGCCCAGGTTCAGGACAACTCACCACAAGCAAGTCCACAACTAAGTCCACAACTCCAGGTAGGTAACCTCATATGGGGAAAAGCAGGGTGGCTAAATGAAACAGCCTGAGATCTTAGAATTAGACTGTTTTTGTACGTTCCGTTCTTATATGAATTCTCCCATCCCATTCCTGCAAATATACAATATGCAGATTTGCCTTTTATTTGACTAGGGAGACCTAGTCAAAAAAAAATCTTTAGGGGGAAAAGGGGTAAAAGACACCCAGAAGGATCGTCGAGTCCAACTCCCAACTCTGTCGTTTTTGTATGCTCACTAACACCGTTGGTTTCTTTGTGTCTGGAAAAATCTGTAAGAGCTTAATTGGAGGGTCAAAAAAAAGTTGGATCTCTGTCAAACCTTCATCACCCTCCCTGCACTTTCTGCTGGGCTCTCCTCTCTGCCAGAGGAGCTGTGCCCTCACGTTTGCTGACATGGAATGTTCCATAATCCACAGATTCCACAGTTTTAAGGATCTGCCCATGTATTCTTTTTTTGCAGAAATTTGCCCTTAGCTTATGAATTTTATTTTTAAATCTGAAAAGAATAAGATTTCTTATATTTCCAATATTTACAAATACAGTCTTAAAGGCTTTAGTTTTCAGGATATGCTAGTCAAAAAATAAGCTTTTTTATCACAAGGTTCAACATTGTGATGTGTTGAGATTATTTAACCCAGAACACATTTTTTTCGCTGATATTTAAACCAAATGACAGTTTTCTCATGTTATTCAAGTATAAGAAACTGGAAAATGTGTTTATTATATTGCTTAAAACAGTATACTTAGGTAGAGGAAGAAGATGGGAATTCATAGAATTTTTCTTCCAGCCCTACTCCAAACTTAGTTTTAAAAAATACGTCACTTTTGAGAACTTCTTCACTCTGTTCAAAATTCACCATTTTAGTATTTTGTATTTATTCCAAACTTTTAAAAATGCAGTTTTGTAAAACACAATAGATTGGTTGATTTGATTTGTGCTAGAGTAACCAAGGGTAAGTCAATCTTCCATTGTAGTGTAACTGCATTACTGCTTTGTTGTTATTGCTGTTGTCCTTACTATTTCAGTTGAGTGCTTGCCACTTGCTGAAGTTTGTGCTGATGGTGTAACCTGCATTAGAAAAGATTTATTTTGTGATGGAGTCTTGGACTGCCCGGATGGTTCAGATGAATCTGAAAAAAGATGTGGTAAGAATGTAAATCCCTTCAGAACAGTCTTTTTGAACATACTTAAACCTGTCAGTATTCTGTAAATAATTTACATCCAATAAATTGCATAATGAAGTCTAAATCGAGTCTAGCAAAAATAATAACAAGAGGGATTGTTATAATAATTATCTTGTGAATGGATTTTTTATCTTTAAAATTCTCATTAATAAAGAATATGCTGAATATCACAAACTGGATATAGTAATATAGCATAATATAGAAATTCTTATTTAATATATAAATATTAAAAACTATAAATAAATATAAAATGTAATGTTAAAATTTCATATGAAGTTGTGTACTGGTAATATAAAATGTACTTTCCAAACACATCAAAATTATGACTCTATACAGTTATAAAATCACATTGCCCAGTAACAGAAACCACTTACTGTCATATTTGCAATCAGAAGAGAAGTTTTGCTTTTGATTCCAACATTAGAAATATCATCATACATACTACTACAAACAACTTTTCAGAATAACATATACTCTGATACAATAATATTGTATCTTGGTGTACTCCATCATATAGACAATGTATTCTTCTTACTAATTTATTATGAGATAATTGATTTTAGATTCCTACATAGAAAAATCGGGCAAGGAATAAGCTAATATACCAGGGCCTATCTTTAAATTTCTGCAGTGTTAGCTGTAAAACATCTGGCTTTTCCTGCTAAAATCCCCTATGCGTCAACTAAAAATGTACTCTCTAATACTAAGGCTATACTGAATGTACTACATGTTTAGATAGGTTTGTGTAATTTCTTGATGTGCTTATATTAAAATTATGAATTAAATTAAACGATAACTGAAATTTGCCCTTTGAGAAATAATTAGATGCCATTGAGGATTTTGAAGAGAACTTAAAACTGTTCATAAGGCAAAATAGAAAAAGATTTTACTCATTTCAGTGGGAACAGATTTAGAACAATGAGACAGCTTTTTGAAAATGTAGTTACTGTTCAATCAGAAAAGTTATTTTTCTTAACAAAATCAGCAGTCTGTTGCACACAAAGGAACACCTACTCTCTCCTGCCTCCATATTCAGAGACTTAGGTGGGGTGGGGTGTGTACTGCATTTTGCAGCCACAGATGTCAAGTGTGACTCCTGCTGTGGCACAAACTGTAACCTGGTTTGTTAACCATGCACTTGCACATCTGACACAAATGTTTGATTTGGTGGCACCACAGTGAGAGATGCAAACAATGTAAACATCTGGGTAAAAAGCTCTAGGAGACCTTGTTTGAGCAGGGGATTGGACAAGATGACCTATAGAGGTCATCCTATCTCAGCTATTCTGTGATTCTGTGAAAATGTTACAGACCTACGACCTGATTTGTATATGAGTGAATAAAAAAATAAAAATAAAAATGCATCTTTCACCACCAGTGAGCTTGTTTGCCTAGCTTCCCTATGTGCCTTTTCATGCGGCTGCCAAAGCTCCATTTAGCAGTGGGCACTGAAATTGTACCAAGGATTCTGTTTTTGCTGGTGCTTACCAAATTTTGTATGCAGCATTTTGTTGGGGAGGTACATGTGTTAATGTTGTCTGCATTGCTCTTCACAGCCTCAGCTTCCAGTTTCTAAAGTTTTCTTGCAATGAGAACTTTTTTAATTTTCTGAGAGATGTTGGAGCAATGAACTCCTTGATTTATTTTATTTTATTTTATTTTATTTTATTTTATTTTATTTTATTTTATTTTATTTTATTTTTTATTTTATTTTTAATATTTTATTTGTTGGTAAAGGAATCTGGAAAGCTTATTTGTTTTCTTCTGTGACAACACATTTCTGAGCTCTCCTGGGAAAAAAAGGTGCGGTCAGTCTAGTTTGAGTTTTCAGAAGCATGTTAAATGTTGGACTCTGACTTAAAAACAAATAAAAATATTTTTTAGAATTTGAAATAATTTTAAGAATTTAAATGTAGTCATTTCAAGCCTGTTTCTGAAGTCTGTTGGCATGCTACAAGTGGAATCTTCTTTAGAAATTAGGTGAATTGCAGACCTGTCCCATTACCTTCACTTTTCTGAGTGCAGCCAGTTCAGAAGGGAGACTTAGTCGGGCCCTTTAAGGAAAATATCCATCAAAATACTTTGGTAGAGTATCCACTGAAATGTATCCAAATCTTTATCATAACAGCTGCATCCAGCTAGATCATAACAGTGATGGGCTCTGAGCAGGTTGCTCTACACTGGGAAAATCTGAAGGTCCTAGTGTAGCTTCAGCTAGACTTTTGTTCCATTGGAGAGGCTGAAGTAGCACAACTACAAGGAGTTATTCAGTCTTTCATTTCTACCATCACACTGTTTTGTTTTTTTTTGAGATGCGGGATTTTTTTTGAGATGCGGGTTTTGGTATTCTGGTGGGTTTTTGGTTTTATTGTGGATAGAGGTAAATAAAAAGTGCATATCCTTATAATGGTTAATAATTAGTAGCATCCATCTTATAAAAACAAATGCTTTTTAGTTAGTATTAATTATTAGGTTTCATTTTAAAATTTTTGCTCATGATTTATTAGATACTACAATCACACCTGTTACATAAGAGAGAATTTAATTGATATTCATACATTGATAATTCACCTGCTTGCCTTCAGTTATGACTCAGCTGTGCCTTGAAGGCTGCAGATGAATTCTACTTGAGCAGAACTTTTCAGCTGAGGCATAGACTGTGATGCACATGACTTTCTGGATCTGATTTACATTTCTCCCTGACTCTGAAACATAAAAGTTGTGAGTGCCCTGCTCCTTTCAACTGAGTATATTTTTTCTTGATCATAGCCAAATTTCACCAGTCAGTAAAGAATATGCACAACTGAATTGAAAACTACAGGAATGTATATTATAGCTGAGGCAGGGGAAATTTAGGGTTGACATCAGGAGGGGGTTCTTCACAGAGAGGGTGGTTGCACACTGGAACAGGCTCCCCAGGGAAGTGGTCACTGCACCAAGCCTGTCTGAATTTAAGAAGAGATTGGACTGTGCACTTAGTCACATGGTCTGAACTTTTGGGTAGACCTGTGCGGTGTCAAGAGTTGGACTTGATGATCCTTAAGGGTCCCTTCCAACTCAGGATATTCTATGATTCTATGATTCTATGATTCTATATATACAACTTAAAATGGGCAGAAAATCATAAAGAAACTAACTGTAGTTATAATTCGCTTTAGGGAGCTGGGTGGGTCGTCCCTGTTCATTTTCACTGATACCTGGTACTTCCAAGCAATTTGTTCAGTTGCTATTAGATTGGCAGATTCGGTTCATAACCTTAAAGAAGTGCAATTCTGTCTGGGGGACAAATTGTTGCTCCATCACCCTTACTTTATATTTTCAGTCTTAAAATTTTCCGTCCAAAAAGCAGAGAGTTTTTCTAAAAGTATATATTTAGATTTCTTAGCAGACTTTGCAAAACCAATGGAGTGAATGGCAATAAGCCATATGCACGTTTGGGATACCTGCCAATTTTTCCATCTCTTTGATTTTTCACTATGTCCCGTGCCTAGAGTAACAATATAGTCATATAAAAGCTAAAAACATTTAGATTTTCAGAAGTGCTTCAGGGTTTTACAATGAGATTTACAGGTGATACATGATTCTTGCTACAAGTGTTCTTGCACACAGTGGACTTGCTGTTTAAGCAACTTGGTTTGTTTTTTCATCTTGTTAATTTTTCTGTCTAGTACTTCTGAGTTTATAGTATGTTAGAGGTTTAAAAATACAGAATACAAGTGTGAATTGTAATGGTCTCTTCCTGTATTAGACAGAACTCAGAAAAATCTAAGAATCTCAGTAGAGTTTCAGACAACTGAACACCTTCATTTTTTGCATTTATTGATGAAAATTATCTTGAAAGGTTTATTTCTGGTTCTGCAATGGAGTGCAGTAACAAAAGACCATTGCAAAAGTGCAGTGAGGAAATTTCAATAAAAGAGTCTCTAGGCAAATGTGAAAGTCTGAACAGCACCAATTAATACCCAGCAATGCTGAAAAGCAGCCATGTAACCTGTAAGTTTAAGGAAAGGGGAGACTGGAGGCAGTTCCCAGAATGTGTTCACTTTCCATCCTTTCTTTACAATTATATGTCTAGGCTAACATTTTATGATTATATACCTCACAACATTGCTATAGTATTGAGAAAGATTAATCACATGGAAGCGAGAAAGTAATGCACTGCCCTTGGCAGAGAAAGGGACTGTTGAGTGAATATCTGGGCTTCATCTGACCGGTTTGGGGAGTTTCTCCCTGGAATTCAAAGATAACAGGATTAAGTTCTCCTCATGTGCCCTGTATCAGTAAATAGAAATGGACAGAGATGCGTGTTGGGAAACAGTTAAAGTAGTTCCTACAAAAGATGTCTCCTGTCTTATTAGAACAACTGAAGCTAACATTAATTTTACTCTTCTCTCAACACTAGTAACACCAAGAATGAGGACTTCCAGTTCATATCATTTGTTACTGCTGCATTGACTATCTTGTACTGGGGTCAGCTGCTTTGCTGTTCCTGTTCATGGTATCTTTCATTGTCTTTGATGCTTTTCTGTGTTCCTCATACCTATTGGTTTCCATTTGGTGACTGCATGTGGAAATAGGTGTGCTGACACCTGAAATTCATCCCTGGAGTGTAGCCAGAGTTTCATTCTGGTATAAATGAAAAGTAAGCTGTTGGATGTTAGATAAATGATATTTTTTGTAATGTCTCCATTTAATGTCTTTGTTAATGATTTCTTCTTTCTGTCTGCTATTTCAGAATGTTTTATAAATGTTGACTTTGGAAAGATATCCATAATGTTTTCTCTGTTCATTAATTAGGTCACTCTCATTTTGGCTCTGCTTCTGTTTTTTGGAATAGTATTCTGACAAATGTTCTTCATTATATCTTTACAGCTGCAGTTTGTGATGGAAAATACATGCTGACTGATTCCTCTGGGTCTTTCCACTCTATGAATTATCCAAAACCATATAATCCAAATATTGTTTGCCGATGGATTATACTGTAAGCTATTTTCCAACAGTTAAGATTTATTTGATTATGAGGTGTTGTTGTTTCCTGTACCTTATGCCATTTCTATTCTCAAATACCCCAGAATAGAAAATATATAATACATACTGGCATTTTCTCCATTGTATTTACACAGCTTTTCTTTAAAGACTTGCAGGCCTAAAACCCATAACTATACCACAAATTTTCCCACTTGTAAGGATTCCTTGGCATGATTTTGATAAATCTTGTGTGTTACATGCCTGAACAGGAACATATTTTTAAGCTCACAACAAATTATACAATTCAAAATAATGGCAAGATATCTGTTTCAAAGTGTCGCAGTACATACCAGTCTTTAGATACTGTTTTTGTATAAGACATCACTGCTATTAACAGCTGGAGTATTCAAGAATTCCCTTGTTCCTCTTTATATCCCAGGGAGAACAAAAAGGTAGCCATAGTACGTGATGAATCTCAAGTACTCACAAGTTTTAAGCTCCTAAAAATCCACATAATGGTTACCAGTTCAAAAGTTGTTGCATTGAGAGACAGTGATTCTGATCGTAGCTTTGTAATAATAGCTGTTCTTTGATTCTGAGAAGTATTAATTTGGTAGAAGAGTTTCAAAATAGATTAAGAAAATACCTTTAAAATTGAAAGAAATTGAAATTCTCATTCCCAAAGGCCCCTTTCACAATGCTATCCTTTGAGCTTGTTCAGGACTTTCATCTTCACCTTTATACTTCAGGAGAAAGTCATAGTTTTTCTTCTCTTTAATATATTAATTCCTTCTCAGCTTCAACAGTACCGTTCACCAATAATTACAGGCCACAGATGATGTTAAAATATAGTGTGTTTTATGCCTGACTCGTTTCTCAGTTCATGGTGTTACAGAATTTGAGCATAATAAATAATTTTGTCTCAAGTGAACTACTGCCTTCTGAGCTGTTAATTTTGCTTCAAAGGCTGATGTAGTGGCAAGAGGCATTGTACTGAGTAGGTATCTATATGGACTCAGTAACTGTCAAAAGCTTAGGTGCTTTTTTTTGTTGTTGTTGTTGTTTTGTTTGTTTGTTTGTTTGTTTTTACGTTTGGAAGACAGATCTTGATACACATATTGATACCATTATACCACTTCTCTGACTTGGTGAATTTTGCTTGAGCAGTTAGATGTTATCATCTGTCAATAACATGCACTAAGAGATTTGAAATTAATGATCCACAGAGAAAAAAAAAAAAAGACTGTCCAACTGAATAGCATATTCTAGATCTTAATAAAATTGAGTTCCTAGAATATACGTGACTCCAATGAGTAAAGGAGTAGTTCTACTGTTACAGATGGTTAATTCCCTATTCCATCAGTAATTTCACAAACTAAAAGTTAGCCAAATAACTAATCTTGATTAATAATATTGATTGGTATAATTTCAGTTTGCTTCTGAACTGAATGTTGTTCAAGCACACAATGAATTTACTACAATCAAAAACAAACAACAACAACAATAACAACAACAACAAAAAGATTACTGGAGAACATGGCTCTTAATTTATTTTCTTCTGATTTATTTTCCTGTTATCTTAGAGTGCCTCAAGGGTTGTCGATTAAACTGAACTTCACTTCTTTTGACACACAACAATTTGCAGACAGTCTAGATATTTTTGAAGGTATAGGACAAAACAAAACTTTAAGAGGTAAGGTTATTTTCCAGTTGATACTGGTTTTTCATTAATAATATTTGAGTGGTAAAAATAAGTGGTAAAAATTGGAAAAAAAAAAAATAAAAACTATGTGTGTATGTTTAAGTGAAAGAATGCATCTGTATACAGTTTTCCATTAGACAATTGATCTTGATATATATATTAAATACTCTTATGAAATAACCAGAAGTATGCTTACCTATATATAAAAAATCACAATATTTTTACAGGTCTTATTTGAACAACAGGTCTTATTTGAACAATCGTGATAACTTGAACAGTTCCACGGTCTTTCTGGGTTTGTGTTTCATTGGATATACACTGTCAGAAGATCCTTTAACATTGCACACAGTGAAATAAAATTAAGGCATTTAAACTGAAGCTGAAGAAGTGCTATGGTATTGCAATTTATTATATGCATGACGTTACTGCGTCTATATTCTATTCTGAAAAAATGGGATTCTCGCCATTTTTCATGACTCAGTCTGTCCAGCTGAATTCAATCACAGATGGAATGCACATACTTGGATATAAATATCTAGATAAGGAATATTTCTAACTCAGAAAGATCTTTATTGTATATTCCTATTTTTGGAAGCAGGTAGAGATTGGAAATATAGAATAGTAAAAGACACCTGAAATACAAAATGGAAATTTCACCCCTCCAGTACTGCTCTGAATATGATACATATGATTGGGATTTAAATTTCCATGTCAGAGAGTGCTTCAATAATATTCTCTGTAGGAACCATTAACTTGTGTATTTTGAAAGACTGCTGTAGGGGTGACTGGTGATACTGCAAAGAAGTAAAGACAATGTTAAACACTGTCCTTCGGTGGGTTGCCTAAAACATTCTAAGGTACATTTCCAGCAGACTCTACATTTAAGTAAATAAAACGATTTTACAGTAATTCAAAATTTCGTTAGTCCATGAAATTCCTTAAACATATATAGTAATTATGTAAGATAATAAGTGCATATAATAAAAACACTTAGTATTGTTATTCTAGAGTTTCAGCGTGCATATCTATAAACCACAAGAAATTTTGCAACATAATAAGCATGAATAAGATTATAGTTTTGAATATATTGGTATTTTATAACAAAATAAAAATATAATCACAGTGTAACATAAAAGATGTTTCTCCACTAGCTGATATCCATATTGACAGATAAGTGAGATGGGATATGCAAAATAATTATATGGCAGACGAACCGAATGGCTTCAGTGTTTCAAAGGCCTTATAGACAGGATCACAGTACAAAGGAGACAGCATTCTTTAAGACTCAAAAGACTAATCTAGTGTGTTTTTATAACAGCACTGGAGATATTAAGGCACGTGATTTTTTTTTTCTCTGACTATTTTATTCTGCTTGTTTTCAGCTTCTCTCTCAGGGTCTAATGCTGAGACAGTATACATTTTTTCTCATGAGGCTACAGCTGAGTTTATATCTGATTATTCTGAAAATTACAATGGCTTTAATGCAACGTATACTGCATTTAATGCAAATGAGCTAAACAGTAAGTGTTCTTTTTTGTTTGCTTGTTTTCTAGAATGCTTGGTGAAACTATATTTTCATTTTGATAAAATGGAGATGAACAGGGAAGCAGTATTTTCTGGCCTTAGTCTCTTAATTTGTTCCACATTGAGAAATTTCATCCTATTTTAAAGATCATATCATTGATTTCATTAGGACTGTCCACAGCCCTACAGGCCTAAATCTGATAATAGGGTAATGCCTTACAAAGACTGTGCTGTTAAAATAAAAGAGTAAAACTCTGGCGATATCAGATGGCCTTCAGATTCCTCACTATCAGTTTGTTCACTGATGAACACTGTGGGATCACCAATGTTGATCACTATTCTGTGATCTCCAGGTCATACCTGTTCTCCAGAGTTTCTGATAATCTAATTAATTGCCAAAAATAGCAGTCCCAAGTGGTAAAATTACCAAATTACCATTCAGAAAAATACCTGCTTCGGTGACTAGACATGACAAAAATATATATATATAAAATGAAATCCAGTAAATCTACAGTGACAACAAAATGCAGCAATGTGACTCATGCTCTGGTATTCTTTAGTAGCCAAGAAAAAATTTAGAGGCAGATTTGGCAAGTGAAGGCTGCTTCAGCTGCTACATTTTGAGGATATGGATGTGGCACGTGACTAGGAAAGACGTTCTGCTGAAGAAAAGATTCAGAATGCCAACAAATTATTGTCACGTGGAAATCTTTATAACGGGCTGAACTGTGATTCAAGGCTCTCTTACTTTCTCATTTTCCCACCACTTACTGGTGAAGGATCAAGAAAGAAGTTTGATGAATAAGTACAAAAGCAAGTCAAGCCACCTTCAGTGATGCATTGTTTACAGCACAAATGACACATTTATTTGAGTTGCTTAGAAGAGCAAAATGAGTCACCATGGGCTCCAGTTTCCAAAAACATTTAAAAAATGTACACTGTCACTCATTCTTATGAAATTCTGAGAAAATACTTAATGTCTTTGTCATTTTTATATACTAGAGGTTCTTATTCACAGATTATGAGAAAGTCTATTGCACTTTTGAAGATGGCTTTTGTTATTGGAGGCAAGATTCAGATGATGATTCAGACTGGGAGAGAGTTCAGGGCCCTACTTTTCCCCTTATGAGTGGTCCTGATTTTGATCATACATTTGGCAACATGTCAGGTAAGATCAAAAATAAATTGCTTGCAGATTAAAGAAAAAGATGCTTTAGTTATATCACTGTAAGCTGTGTTCTTCATAGTGGTATTATCAGGATGTAATTTTATCTGCCATAAAAATGAATCTGAACTACCGTAAAAAAGTTTATGCAACTGATTATCATCTTGTATAAATACACCAAAAGTAAAAGAAAAAACAAAGGAATATACACATTCATTGAAGTGTGAAGTATTGAGGAATTTGGACTCTATTCAAAGTGACTTATCCATTTGCCTAAGGGGAAAAAAAAAAAAGTAGTTTCTACTGAAATTACTTCTTTTTAATCCTGATCTACCACTCAAAATCTATCTATCTATCTATCTATCTATCTATCTATCTATCTATCTATCTATTTATTTATTTATTTATTTATATTAATGTAAAATTGACCTGCAATGTACATAGGGTACCTGTGACCCCAGTTACAATTGCACTGCAAGAACACTAATTATCAGCACACATGCAGAACACAAACACATGACCAACAGTTATAGCAAAGTAACTTAATTGGAAGAGCAGTCATATCATTTGTGGATTTTAATTCAACAGGTGATACTGATTAGGAATCAGATTTTGAATGTGTATGTTGAATGTTTTTCCAAGAACTTGGTTCCAAAAGTTTTTTCTTGTTCAACAGAAAAAACACAGCATCTGTCTCAGCTGATTTGTCAGTCCAATTAAAACTAGTTAAGAAAATTTGAATTTCACAATGATCATATATATTCTATGCAAGACAAATAACATATGCAGTGACAAATAACTGTAAAAAGTGCAAATTATTCTGGCAAAAGTTACTCATGGGAAAAGAAAAATATTGTTCAGTATGTTATTGCATACAAATTATTCTCTCTGAATAAATAAACATTTTCTAAATAATCTTTAGAACACTGTTTTGTCTTCCCTCTCAAGTCCTAGAGTATAAATTAAACTAAAAAAAAAAAAGTAAAATTTACTTAATAAAACTCTTGACAGTGATTTCTAGCTGTCTTGAAAATGCTAATATATTATAGATATGTTTAACTGTGCTAGATCTAAGATGACACATATAATGTTACTGTATGTAATGTTACCTTTATGTTGAATATTCAGATTTCTATTACCTGCATTTGAAGTAAAACTGCAAACTGCAATGTTAATTTGGTATGGTATTACATAGACACTGTAGTATTAGACACTGTAGTATTGTTTCACTACTCTTGAATAGCAGGAGAGTTAATACATACTTATGTATTATTATACCTCAAGACCTGAAGACTAAACCTTTGTAATACTGTAGACCTCCACTAGAAAATATTTATTTAATTTCAAATTAAGCTTGTACCTCATTTTGCTTTCTCCACAGCTGTGTTGTACAGTATTACACTTCATACCAAAATAATACAGGCAATATAATAAATATTCTGACAGTGAAAGTGCCAAAGGAAATTCATTACTGCACATTCATTACTGGACAAAATTTCCTACATTTATTCTGAATTCTCAGGATGAATGAATGAAACAAAAACAGGGACCTGTCACATTGGCTCTAAAATGAATGCCATCCTCATCTTGAAGCTAGACACCATGTATCTTTTAATGTGTGCTTCTCTAAAACAACACGGAAAAATACCATTTCAGACTTTTTTTTTTTCATGTACTCAAACTTTCTATGTGAAAAAGCTAGTTAATCTAGAAGTGTAAATAAAAGAATATAATATAGTGTGCATTACCCAATTATATTTAATGTAAATTCAATGTGTATAATATTTGCATATGTAGATATTAGGTATATAGGTTCATAAAGAGATATAATAAAATCTAAGATTACAGACAAGATTTCAATAAAGCAAGAATTTTCTTTTAGAACTTAACTATGCTTAATTTTGCTTTTCCTGTGACAAAGCATAATGGAATATCTGTAGCCTGTCCTCTGTCCTCCCATTTCTGTTTGGCAGCAAGAAGTCCAGATTCTCAGCAGGAAAAAAAAAAAAAAATTCAGAAAAGGATTAAAAGATAAACAAATAATGTCCTTTCTTGTTTATATTGCTTCCCCTTGTTAAAAAATATTAATGTAGTCACTCTCACTCCCCAACACACAGCCCGTATTATGTGGATAAAAATTATAACATGTCAGGAAATTCTACTGCAAATCTACAAGCAATGTCAAACAAGAAGACATTTTTATAAACTAACCAGAAATCACTCAGGTAAATTCCTGACATTACTGAAGAAAAGGCGGATCTCCCACTGACTTCAGAAGGGCTAGTTTCTGATTTCATGTCTAAATCTGAGGACCATCTGACAAGCTTAGAAGCTTGCTTTAATGTTCTTGACTGATCAGTATAACCCATTGTTCACTTCTATTTTGTCAGGAATCCTCCAAGTCATTAAATCTGTGCTTGATATTACTGATACCATTTTTAAACACAAAAACTTGTCCTCATCAAAAAAGGAAAAACAAACAAACAAAAAAAACAATAGTTCTACTGACTAAGATGTGCTCATTATTTTGCAGGATTTTATATTTCAACACCCATAGGATTTGGATATAGAGAAGAGAGAGTCCGGATTCAGAGTTTGCCTTTGGTCTCTTCAGATCCATCTTGTCTAAGCTTTTGGTATTGTTTTGTAACCTCTGCAGATTAAATCATTCCTAAACACATACTTTGTTTAAGAATAAAACAAAATATTTTTCTTTAATGCAAGTCAGTGTGCTAATCATACAAGCCACGTCTGTTTGGATGTTTGGATTTCCATGACCAATCTTGATTCCAGACATTTTTACTCCATTATAGATTTGTCTTGCAATTAGCTTTAGTTTCCTTTTACACTCTGCAACCAGCATTTATTTCTGTACAGAAATACATCCCTGAAATGTTTTTGTTGTGAAGCTTAACTAGGCCTACACAGAAGATACAGCAAAAGAGCAAGCAAAACTTCCAGTTTTAATTGTATAAAATGTTTCATTTTGTTTTCATGCTCACTAAAGTTTAGTTCCAATTTCATAAAACTGTTTAAAAAATAAAAAGCTTGATATTTTTTCATGAAATTTCACTGCAATATAGTAATAGAAAACATTGTTCTTGCCCCTCTAGGTATTACATGTACAGTCCTAATGTTTACCGTTTAATTGTTAGTATAAGTGATGAACAAGGTGTAGAAAAGATAATTTTCGAGAAAGAAGGAAACTATGGAAACTACTGGAATTACGGACAAGTAACTTTAAATGAAACATCTGATTTTAAGGTTTGTTAAACTATTAGTCTTTCATATAATTATTTTAGTTTAATTGACATCAAAGTTTTATTCTAATGATTCACAGCTTTAAATTTATTTGTATAAGTATTTTGTTTGGCTTGTATTTCTATGCTAGTTTTCATTGATGCAAAAGCACTGCCAGAAAGGTGCATTTACCATCTGATAAAGTGAATACATCTCTGACTGGGGTGCATCACATTTCCAGGAAATGTGTGTTATGAGATCTCAAGAAGAGAATTATACTTAATTTTAATAGTTTACTTACACATACTATATACTTACACTTAATAATTGAAACTCATCAAGATTTATGCCAGCACAAATTCCTTGGTAGCAGGATTGCCTTAAATATTAAAACACATTAACTAGCCATCAGATGATAAATTGCAGTTGTACATGGAGATATGCCATTAGATCAGAAGGGCTGGACAGATAAGTGATACAGAATGTTGTGTGTTAAAAATTACATGTATTTATATAAAAAAGTAAAATTCTTGAATAATTTTAAATTATGTTCATCATTTATAAGAAATTCCTGCATTCCTAAGAATGATCTGTTCAGTTTGCATAGCTTTTGTGTTCCAGGAAGTCCTGTCTCATCCCTGATGCTCTCCTCTGAGTATAGCACCAGTGTAGATTACAGTGGAAATAAGAACATTTGAGAAAGAAGACTAAATGTTTCGGTATAGGAGGCTGGAAGATGTTTCATTAAGTTATAACATTCTATTTTATTTTTTTTTAAATGAATTTCAGGTTATCATTGATGCCATTAAAAAGAATGGTGCAAGTGATATTGCCTTGGATGATATTGGCCTGACAAAGGGAAAATGTAACGAAAGTAATTATGTAGAACCAACTGCATTTCCAGTTATTACTACTCCTTCAGGTCCCAGTAAGTAAATACTACTGTTGATTGTCATTCCCTATTATTGTGTTTGGTTTTGAGTGATTCAAGATTTGCAATAAAATTCATTCAGCTTTATGAAATTACCTCCTCAGAAGTATAAAATTAACTTCAGGATGATATGTTAGGGATCATATTCCCTGTCCATGGCTTCATTCATAGCAAAAGTACTGGTAGTTTCACATTTTAAGCTTCCTGTACATTGTCTTCCAAAACCTGAAGAGTGAAAGAGAAGTTGTGGTCATTTAACAATGATGGGCAGCTAAACTCTATCACACTGCTCTCACACTTTGTCACCTCAAAAAAAAAAAATAAAAAATGCAGGGGGAAGGGGACGGGGGAGAAAATACAATGAAAAAAAGAAAAAAGAAAAAAAAAAGGGAGGGTGCTCATGGGTTGAGCTAAGGACAGTTTAATTACACTAAAAGAAAAAGGTAAAGGAAACGCAGAAGCAAAGAGAGAAAACAATTATTTTCTGTTTCCCATCAGCAAGCTATGTTCTGCTACGAACTGTGAAATTGGTCCTAAATATGTGTAGCAGTTTTTTAGAGAGGTCAAACATTTTCATAATGAGAGCCCACTCTTCTCTTTCCCCTTTCTCATGTTTTATTGCTGATTGTGACATCACATGCTGTGGAATATACCTTTGGTCAGTTTAGGTCAGCTGCCATAGTGATGTCCCCTCCCCACTACTTGCCCACCCCAATCTTTGGGGAGGGTTGGAGGGAGTCTGAAGGCTGTGCCAGCTCTGTTCATAAATAGATAAAAATGGTGTGATACCAGTGTTGTTCCATCCACAAGTGCAGAGCGGAGCACTATATTGGTTGCTGTGGGGAAATTTACTTTCCCGTCTGGGAAAATATTGGGTCTAGACCCAGTACATAAGTAAAGAATTCATAATTTGTTTCTAAAATCTGTTATTAGTAAATTAGTAAAAGCCTCCAGGAATCCAGTAAAGAGGACAGAGTTAAAAAGAGGAGGAGGATTATAACTTCTATATTTAAAATTAGAAACAATACAGGAGTGGGATAAGAGAGTTAGCAAAAACACATAATAATTGAGACATCAGATGTCTCAATAGTTATATGTTCACTGAGCTCTGAGAATACATACACAATGAAAAATCTCATATTTAGGGGAATGAAACAATAATAGTGTCAGAATGGTTTTAAGAATGGAGCAAAATCTGTATGAATGCCAGATACCCAAAATGGAAGTATTATCTGGAACAAGGCTCAAAATGAATGAGTTATTTTCAAAATGTATTTGGCCATATTGTTTTCCATACTATATCTGATTACATTCAAAAAGAAAAATAGAACAATATTTGCTCTGAAAAAAATCTGAATAGGAAAACAAAAAAGATGGAGTTAGCAGTTCTAGTGTGTGAGGAGATGAGCTGCCACCTCCAGTCCTTTTTCATGGGGTCTGAGTAAACACACCTTGGAAGTTAACTTCAGGCAAATGATTAGTGGCATAAAGTCTCTGTAGTAAGTAGTAGCTGAGTTCTGCTGTTGAAACACCAAAGCTTTCAAACTGTAGATCTTGACCCAAAGTATTGTGAGAAAATTTAAACATTCAAAAAATGAAGTGGTCACGTGCTGTATAAATCTGTATAAAATGAATTAGGGAGAATCTGTGTTATCCTTCAATATGATACAAAAGTACAGGCTAGGCAGCTCCTGTGTAAAAACGGACTTGGTTGCACTCTTACCTCATTGAGGCATGATACATATATGCTGTCTGCAACCTGCTGAAAAATGTGGATATTATCAATCATCTTCAAAGAAGTCTGATATTACTTTGATGGATATGGTGCAAGTTTACTAACACTGACAGTTTCACTACAAATGTCACATCTATAAACAAGAGATGAAAGATTTTACATTGAGCTCATTTCCTTTGCTAGACCTAGAGCTTCAGTGAGAGGCATTTGCATCATTCACAGTGCCACAGAAGCTCATTGAAAAGTCTGAATTTTTTTGTCAGGGCATGGGGTAGGGGAGCTGGATTTGTTTTTGTCATTTACACAAGACTGTCAGCTTACACTTTCATCTAAAGTAAGGATTGCTTTAATCTTCTTATTCATTCATAACTTGTCTATTAACACAAATCACAGTGTGGAAATTGCAGTGTATATTCCATCCTTTAGATGTGTATGTTAATATAAAGTAAGGTTTTGGTCAAAGCCAGAGTGATTTTTTGTTTGTTTGTTTGTTTGTTTTTCTGTAAAGATCATATATCATTGTCTACAGTGTTGAGAAAAACCTTCATTATCCTTCATGAAATGACTGAGGTTATTGGTGGTGATTGTTTTTTTTGGTTCTCTAATGAGCATCTGGAATACAATCCAGAATTACTCCGTATAAATTTATCTTTAAAGATTACAAGAAATTTTAAAAATATTTTTCCATGAACAAAATCAATTGCTTTCCGTGCTTTTCCATGCAAGACAAAAAAGAACAGATCATTACTGATATCTTACATGTAGCCAACACCAAATCAGATTTCATCATAAGTTGCTGAAGTTCAGCCATTAAGAAATTTGGTTTTGCTCTGCTAATGTCATAAGATGAATCTGGCTAAGAATTCTTTGTCCATGTTTGCAATAGTTCTGTGCCTATTTCTATGTGCATTAATAACAAAGCCAATGTAAGTTTTATTTGTTGTTAATGGAACTTACAGAAGTTAGTTGTCACTGTAACCCATATATCTGAAATGTAATACACTTTTTAGTGATATTGTGTTATTTTAAACAGTTCCTTTGCCTTTCAGAGAGTTGAATCTATCTCGACAGGTTTGATTTAGAAAATAAATAAATAAAATAAAACAAAGCAAAATAAAATGAAATAAAATAAAATAAAAATAAAAATAAAATAAAATAAAATAAAATAAAATAAAATAAAATAAAATAAAATAGGCTGTAATGAGAAAGTTCAAATCTTTCTTGTATTTAGTGGAACTTGCTCCCAGTAGAATTCAATGGACAACCTCAGTAAGACTTGTATATAAAGAAGTCCTTATACTAGAGACTCACAGTGTAAAATTCTGACAGACATACCAAAATACAAAATGTAAACCAATAGGGGGGTAATGTTTAACCAAATACTACGTTGACAAAATCATGCTTAATTAAAGGAATAAAACAAGAAAAACAAATGGTAGAATTATTCTATCTTTACTTCTGTTTCTTGGAAATTGAAATAATATAATAAATAATAATAATAATAATAATGGAAATAAGAGCAGTGTTTTTTTCTGAAACAAGTATTTGAGAGCAACAGAAGTGGTAAAACAGATTTCTTTCCAATGGTACAGCTGAAGTAACATAAATAACATTTCTTAACATATAGTAAAATTTGGGGATATGAAGCTGATATATTCTGGATGTAAACCACCTTTATGTACTATATATTGAAAGAGAGTATTGAGTATATACAGCACAGTTAATTGTGTGTGTGAGAGAGTGTGTATATGTGTGCATATGCATATCTAAATTACCTTCTTTTATATAAAATGTTATGTTTATATATCTGAGCGCAAGTACATGTTTAGGATATTTTTTTATTGGAGCTGTTGTTTTGGGGAAAGAACAAATGGCTACTTTTACTATTTAAAAAGATTTAACTAAAAGCTTTTTGACTCCTGATGAATTCAAAATGACAGTATAAGTTCTTAAAATACTCACATTGAGTATTTTGCTCACGTTGAGACCCATTTTTCTAAAAACATTGCATAATAGGAAAATTATGAATCTCACTGTAGTCAGTCTTTTGATGTTCTGTTTCAGAATATATACAAGCTTTTGTACATTGTTTTGCTGTCATTAGAGTAAAAAGTCATATTTATCAAGGCAGACATTTTAAGTGCCAATTTTGTTGTTGTCATATATCTAGATAGCTATTAAGATGTCTTTTCAGGCCAAGCATCGAAGATGTCATCTGGCTTTTCAATATAGACTTAAACTGAAAATTAAAAAAATTGAAGTCTTAAATTTTTGAAAGCATTGACCCTTTCACAATTCTCTCATTAAATATACAAATACTAGGTGTTCTAGTTAGTGTTTCCTAGCTCATTAACAATATATAACATCACTTTATAGATGTATTCGCACACAGTTCTGATGCCTTCACATACTGCATTAGAGTATGTTTGGAAAAGTCTGAGTACCTGATCAGACCTCTTTAGTGTTTTTCTAAGTTCCCTCCTTTCAAAATCTGCAGCTCATCTCCATGAATTTATATTCTGAAATTGTACTGGAAATTTTTATTCCATTTATCCTTATAGAAGTTCAAAGATTTCTCACATCAACAATATCACCTTTCCCTGAAGGGGGAGAATAGTAGATAAGTTAGTAGACATACTTGTTTTGAAATATATGGGTTTCAAACCTCCTTGCATAAAAGCTTAATTTGAAAGTCTTATATTCAATTGATGAGTTAAACAATAGTTATTGCAATAATAACAATAGTGTGTTTTTTTTTTAATACATTTTATAAGTTTATGGAATGAGGAAATAAACTGCTCTTTATTTCTTAGCCAAGATGAACTGCAAAATGGTGAAAACTCCACCTGACAATTTTTTTTTTTATAATTTTTTGAATGCTTTTCAACTAAAAAATTTGCTACCAATAAATTTTCAGGTAAATTCTAATGGTTTCCACTGTAGATTCATATGGTCTTGCTACAAAGTTTATTTCCTAGATGACAAAATGGGCTTTAGTATCTCTGCCAGTGCTTCAAGAAAATCAATTAGATAATAAGCAAGGCATGCTAAATGCATGAATGCTTATGTTTGGGCGATGGGGAGACTTCCTGTCTTATATAGATGTTTTCTAGCTTTTATGTTAAAACACTACTAAATTATACAGTTTTCTTCACATTTTCTGTCATGTGTGCAGCTTGAAGACCAGTAATTACCAAATGAAGCAAATTATATCCTTTCCTGCCTATGTGGGGTAGACTTCTCATAACACCATTGTGGATGCAGTTGTGCACCTCGGCACTAGCACTTCATAATCAGCATTGTCTGACCTACAGCTGACCGATGGCATGAATTACAAGTCTGCCACTGCAGCTGATAAGGACAGTAAAGCTCTTCCACACCTTCCTTCCCCAAAGGAAGTGGAGTGGTGGCTTATCACAGTTCATTGTTCAAGCTTTATAACAATAGGACTATAGCTGGCCCCTTACAGTTAGAGTGAATATCTTCTTCATAAAATTACTTTTTCTATATTGTCTTTGTAGACAGATGATTGTAGAAATAAAGTAATAGATGAATTATGTTTTGAAATGTTTTCTTTTTCAGGTGACTGTGGAGGACCAGTTGAACTCTGGGAGCCAAACAGTACGTTCAGCTCTGAAAACTTTCCAAACTATTATCCTAATCAAGCATCATGTAAGTCATTCTTTTCTAAGTCTTCATGAAAAGTTTAGATGGATAAAGGTTTTAAATGTGCTTTCAAATGTTGTCAAGGAAAAAAAAAAAAAAAAAAAAAGATCCAAGCTAAATACTTTGGGCTCTTTTAATTGAAGTCTATCTATATGATGCTTAGCAGAAGCTAGGGGTTCTTATGCCAGTTGATTAAAAAATGATGTTGATAAGCACAATCCCTTGAAGTGGTTTCAGTCAGGCCAGAAGATACATTATGCCTTTTATGTCAGATATTTTCATATCAATGCACATGAGAAGATGTTGAAAGTCCACTTTTAGCATTTCACCTCAACATATTTGTTGGGTTAGTGGCTTGGTCATCAGCTTTTTGTTAAATAGTTCACCTTTTAAAGTTGAAATTATATATGCATGTATTTTGCAAGGGATTATCTTTATTGAATATTTCTTAACGTACCAGTGAAAAGACAGCATTAATCTACTAGTGTTACTTGATTTGGATCAAGCTACAGCTTGCAAAGGTGAATAGAAAATGAGATTTATGATGTTTCAAGGTGGTATATGCTGTGTGCTGTTGATGGATTAAGCAAGGAAGAGAATTTTGCTGTTGCTTCTTAATTAAATTTCAATTATTTATTACTTTACCTTTAACAGGAGAATTGTGCTGGGACGTTAATAGCAAAACTTATTTTGTGTTTCTGTCCCACTTGAGATATGGCTCTTATTTCCACGTATTAATTTCACAGGTTACCAGACATGATTGTTACTAGTAGGAAAATACTTTTCATTCTATGACGAGAGAAAAAGTGTTTTGTGTTGTTTGTTACTTTTAACTTTCTTTGCAAGATTTCCATACTACCCACAGTCACTTAGAAAAAATATAATAAAGGTGGTTTAAACAGAGGCAAATGTTTCTTCTGTAAAAAGAGATATAATTTGAAAGGCAGGTTTCTGTGAATGCTTATAGAAATTATTTTACTATCCAATAGCATAAGGCTTAAGTGACAAGGCTGTCATGTTTTCACAGTTACAAAACAATTACCTTTCTTATTGCAGGGAAACAAGCAGGCGCCATGAATGGTAATAAACACAATTGTCTATGTCTTAGAAAAATAAATATAATTTTCAAAAGCATCTTAGAAAATCAGAGTAAATGGGATTTTAGATCTGGACAGCTTACGTCACTTCTAAAGTTGAAATGTAGACTTCTGAGTCTCGTGGATAATTCTGAATATTTTAACAGAGATTATTTCTTTTTCCTTCAATGTGAAAATGATTCAGAAAATGTGACAACCATTAAGTCGGTTTTTGTGTTTGTGTGTTATTGTTTTCTAGGTGTATGGTACTTAAATGCCGAAATAGGGAAGAACATTCAACTTCATTTTCAGGTTTTTGATGTGGAATATATTTATGATATAGTTGAAGTCAGAGATGGCAGAGGACCAAATTCTTCACTTCTGGGCAAGTAAAACTGCTGGGTAAAATGAATGCAATTAGGCCACTGGAGCAAACTGATTGATCTGATGTAAAGGAAATCAATTCTCTCTTTCTTTTACATTTCTTCAGATTTATACATCTTATAAATAAGCAGGAAAACTCAAGAAAGCATACAGTATGTGACATCATGTTTCCCAAAAGTTTGCACACACTCGGCTTTCCATACAATCCAATAGAAATTAACTTCTCAATAAATAAGACTGCTCATGTATGCGCAGAAACAGAATAATATTCGTGTGTTGATCAAACTTTATTTTCTATACCGACATATCAAATTTGGGGTTGAGCTTTGGGCATCACAATCTGATAGCAGTGTCTTCAAGAAATAACTGTATTCATGTGGTAGCAATATTTGCACTGAGTTCTAAAACATTTTGAAATAAATAAGATCAAAATAACCTATATTCGTGTTCTCCTGGAGAGTAGCTGTCTATACAGGACAAGGCCCATTGCCAGATGTCTTCTCTACAACAAACCAGATGACGGTAATCCTTTTTACGGACAAGATTGTAACGAAGCAAGGATTTCTTGCAAACTTCACTACTGGTTATCATCTAGGTCAGTGTACAATCTCATGTCTTTAAGAGGTTATACCAAAGGTCAAATACATTTGAGAAAAAGTGGAGAGTAGGAGGTGACTCTCTGTCCTTAATCAATAGAAATATCAAAAATTTAAAAAGATTAACAGTTACTCATTTGCACTTTATGACTTTGTTTTCTAGCAGGAAATGTGACATTTTGTTACTTTATAAAGTATCCAGTTGGCTGATGTTGGTACCATCTGCAACTCTGTTCAATAGTATGGGAAAAAGTGACCCAGTATTTTGACTAGTGAACCATCTAAATCCTAAAAGGGCAAATATGAAGTATTATTTATACAAACTCAACAAGTCAACAAGAATCTACACTCTTTTGCTTTCTTTTAATATCATAAGGTCAGCTTTTTTATAGATTAACATGATATAATAATATAGTAATAGTGATATATGTATATATATATATATTTATCTCTGATAAATCATAACCATTGATTTACTGTTGGTAATTAACTCACCTTGTGCAAGACTGACAGGCAGGTTTATATGGGCACATGACCATTTTACCACTTCTTTTTCTTCCTTATCTATCACATTTGTTCAGCTCAACAACACTATGACTATTTTTTAACTGGTTCAGTAAAGATTAAGTTTTGCCCGTGTTTTGTTGTAAAATAAATTATTGTGCTTATAAAGGCAGAGTTCTCAAAGTGGCCATTGCCAGGTCTCATTAAATATGTTAAAAGGTTGGCAATTGCAGAAGAGTTAAGCTTATCACGATCTTTGCAGCCGAAGAACACAGACTAATATCATATTGTAAGTAAATAAGCAAATTTTGTAAGTAAAGAAGATTTTTCTTCACATTTTATTTTTCCATGAGATACTAAGATTTTCATAAGGAAAAATAATTTTACAATAAAAACTTTTTGATGGTATGCATTATAATAAGAAAAACATATTTGAAAATCTTATTTTCATCTAGCTGTAGAAGTAGGAACTAAGTTCTGTGGAAAATCTGGCATCAGTTGTGGCCAGTGAATGTGTGAAAATCTGATACAGGAATTACAGAAATCATACTCTTTTACATCCATGTTAGATAACAGGTCATATTGGCTGATAAGTTAATCTTTTTATATGGATAGTCAAAATTTAGGAAGAGAGCAACTGTCTTGCCTTAAATAAGATTTTAGATATAACAAATGGTGCCATTAAATACACTGGTCCCCACACAGCAAGGATTACAGCTTTATATTTACTCTATATGGGATCTCCATTTTTTACGCAGCTGATACTGAAGTGGATTAATGCTATTTTTGTGAATGTTTTCCTCATTCATTTCTATTACTTTTGTCTCCCCTTTCCTCCCAGCTAGGTTTTGAAAGGAAACTCTTGTCTGTCAATGCCTCTTTACTTGCATATTTGACTTGACACACTTTAAAGCCACTAAACTTCTGTGAAAGTGTTAAACATCCAAAGTGACTATTAGTCACTTTCAACAGGATTTAATCAGGATTTGATTTTTCTCATCCACCCCAAAGATTCATTTGTGTAGCAGAAGAACACTAGTAGCTGAGCAATGCTAACTTTAGCAGAAACTGTAAGGTGTAATACCACATTTTATACTTAATTAGCTTTTATTTATCTGAAAATCATCATTATTTTGGAAAAAAAAAAAAAAAAAAAAAAGGAAAGAAAAGGGGAAGTAAAGGGAAATCATAAGAGGAAGGCATTAGGAAAAAAATCCTGTATACTATCTACACAATTTTATTTTTAGGTAAACTGGATGATCACCAAACTGATGTTTACAGTTTTACCATTCCAGTAATTGTGGTTTCATTTTCATTTCGTGTTTTCCTTCAGGAGCGTGTACACTCGAGGAATATCAGTGTCGTAATGGAGAGTGTATACCATTGCATAACCTTTGTGATAACCTACCTCAGTGTGAAGATGGCTCTGATGAAGCAAAGTGCAGTAAGTTTTATTTCAAACGTAGAGAAGGAATGCATGAGTATTTGATAGGAATTTCACAGGCAAACAGACACAGAACCCTAGCTAGTGTAAACTGTGGCATCTGTATGCAAGCCATGCAGATTTACACAGCAGTACCTGACTTTGTCAGGGACAGAAAAGCAAAGTCACATTTCTGAGACAATGCATGTAATCTTGTGTAGTCTCTAGGAAAGGTAAGAAGTTACTTTGTACTTAAAGATATGACTATTTACAGTGACCTCAAAATGAAATGAAAATTCATTACATGTTCTCATTCTGTATCCATTTCATATTGCCAAAATTTTGTATTTTTTCCTGTTATTACTTTCAGTTTCACAGCAGTATAAATGCTGCAGTGTGTGACAGAGTTTAAGAAGTCTTCCTGAGAGAAACTGTCAAATAGTGGGAAGCCAAACTGTGGCACAGAGCACCCCCCAGCCTGCCTGCACTCCACCTCATGGCTGGCATTGCCATAGGATGAAGGTGTGGCACAAATGAAAAAGCAGTATCTATTGCTCCCAGTGGATGTGCAGGTTCCTACAAGAAAATTGATAGCTGCAACTGCTTAATCATCTCATAAAATGGTTCTTTGAAAATTTAGGTGTACAACGTATGGTTTCATTTTGCGTAACATGGAAAAAATGTTCCCTAAGCAACAACTTCAGTGTAAAACTGTTGTTAAAACCACATTGGGCCTAGCACAGGAATCACATTGCTGTTTCTGAAAAAGTGCTGTTCTGACAATGTATTATGAAACATTAATGGGAAAGTTAAAAGCACACTTCTAAGCTCAATATATCATCATCTTCCTTTGTTTTAAGAAAGACTTATAGGGTTCAGATATATCATTGGATATATCTGGCTGACAGTTCTCATTGATTTCAACATCTTTTATATGGATGTATATGTATATAATGTCTGAAAAAGCAGTGTCAGTGTCCACATTAATGCAATTAACTGTTTTTGCAACCATATTCTGCCTTTAAAAATGCACAAAATTAAAATTCATTTCAGCTTCTTCTTTGCCATTGCTAAAGATCTGAACAAGGTAACCATCACCTAAATTAACATGTACGTTTTCCCAAAGATTTATTTTGCCATAGATTGTCTATTTCTTCATAACCAATTACCTCACATTAAGGGATAGGGAGAATTGCTTCCAAAAACCCATTTAATCCAAAAGTTGGATGAATCAGTCTAACCTTTAAAATAAAATGCAAATTCAATTAGACACCCTCATATTGAGTCTTTTCAGTGTCCAAAATACTTGCTCATTTTCCTGAAACCAATTTCAATTTCTTATCATATGTACCATTTTAGACTAGACAAGCTACTATTTTCAAATACTCCAACTCATTAAACTTCCCAGGGACTCCAAAGAAAAAACATTGGTTATCTCTTTCTTTAAAAATTCTAAAGTATATGACATTACACTTAACCACTTTTTGAGTGCTCAGTAAGTCTCTTACTGCTTACCAGCAGTGTATTTGGAGATTAATGTAGATCTGATGAGGAGAAAGGAAAAGGAATTATAGTTAAAGTAGAAGACAGGAAAGGTGTCAAAAGTGATTTGGAGAAATCTCACAGTGCAAGCAATTCTGAGATTTTAAAGACTGCTCCAAAATTTTGTATGAGTGATGTTTACTATTAATTTAACCACTGTTTGTCACTTATTTCATTCATGTGCTCTGCATGTCAAAGAGGAATTTTTATTTATTTATTTTTAATAAAGTGGATAAATGTTAATTTTTATGGAAATACTTTTTGCAGAAAGGTTTTCTACAGAACTAGTATTTTCCTGAAAACTATATTTCAGCAACCAGTAAATTGCAAATGAATTATATTGCTTTCCCTGCTTCATGCTGGCAATAACTGCTATCTGTCTCAAGTTCAGCTGTAGCCTATGAGTTATAGACAGAATTCTGTTGACCTTCTGCTACAACTTCCTTAGTCACCATGACAGTAGCATAAGATTTTTTTACCACATACTTAAAGTTTCCAATTTTTTTTTCTGATTTTTTTTAAACCTTTGATAGAACTACTGGTTTTCAGAGAGTTTTATTATTATTATAGTTATTATTTTAACTTAAACTGCAATGAAAGCAAACACTGAAAGTTCTCAAAGTGATTATAACTGGAAAATCCAATTTTTCTGTCAGCTTGGGTTTTAACCTTACTTCTAGTCAGTGTTACTGAGTATCATGTAGCTAAAGCTTCACCACAGTATTTCAAAATTGCATAGTACTGGCTAAGAAGAAATAGTTGTTAGAGTAGATGGAAAATGTACTATTTGCTGTCTGTTAATAAGACTTGCAAAACACAAGCTATGAAAACATCGTGTCACAGAAATATAGAAGGAAAAAGCATTTACTTCCTGTGGGAATACATCTTCTACATACTGAGTTTATTACTGCTGTAATATACCTTAACTACTTTTTTTTTTTTTGCTGGCAATAATAATACTGCATTGTGTGGAGGGGGGATTGTTTGTGTTTCATGGTGTTTTGTTTTTGTTTGTTTGTTTGTTTGTTTTTTACCACCTGCCTAAAATGCTTCTATTCATTTTGGTCTACAGTGAGATTGCTTAATGGTTCTTTAAGCACGAAAGGGCTGGTACAAGTCAGGATTGGGAAGACATGGCACCTGGCATGTGCAGATGATTGGAATGAGCAGATTTCAGACAGTGTTTGCCAGCAGCTGGGATTAGGGTGAGTGAAAATATTCAGTTTCTTTGTTCCTTGTTTGAAGCTTTTCTGAGTCTGTGTATTTGTGTTTCCCTCATCATTTTACTGGTGTCTATACCATTAAAAAAAAAAAAAAAGACAAAACAAAAAAACAAGTCTACTTTTCTGTGGTAAATGACTTGTGAGGTCAACCAACAAATTTATAAGTGTCACAGTGCCTGTTTTGATGGCATTCATCACAGTGTTGCAAATTTTGAATACGTTAGCTTAGGCATGAGCATATGGAGAGCATATGAGCATATGTTGGAGAACACTGTGAGACTGATGTGGAAGTGTTAGTCTTTTATCATTTTATGTCATCACTTATGTCTTCACTTTTTATGAGGATTGCTCCAGATTAAATCTGGAGAAAACAGCAGCCTTGGCTGCTCCACTATCATATTGATGTTCACCTCAAGTAAATTCAAGATAACCACTTGGGTATCCTGCAATTAGGTTCCCAGTACATTTCATACTTATCATCAGACCTTAGCTGTTCAGTTAGGAAACTATATTTCTCTTCAGGTGTGGTAGAGGATGGAGGGAGAATGGAAGCATATGATTTAAAAAATTGATTTGGCTTCAATTACTACTGATCAGCTGAATTTCTAGGAAAGAGATGAGGAGGGTCGAGTGCAGAAGTGTTGTATTTTTGCAACTATGGTAAAATTTATGGCCTGAATTCTGACCTCACTTACACTATATGAAACTTCATTGCCATCCATTGAATAATATATGTCTTTCCTAAAGTGCTGAGGTTTTTAGGAATGTCACTCACTCAAATAATTACCAAATGAAATTCTATCTTGCCGTATATCATGGTCTCTAACCAAAGTAGGAAACCTGCAAATGCAGTTTTTCATAAATCAGTTTTAGAAACCACACAGTTAGGAAGATGTAGAAAAATGACTAAATGTTGTTTGAAAGTATTTTTAATCACCTGATAAGAGAATGTGTGTTGTTTTATTTTTATTTCTTTTGGGTAGGTACTGCATTTATATACATATCAAATACCTCCATGCACAAATCCTGATTATAATATGTATTATCAAATATACCTAATTATCTAATTATTTACATGATTATATAATTTATCTATATAATTATCTAATTTATGCATGCATATAAGGACATACAGAGTGTGAGTAAATGTTCTTCCAGGCAAATAACCTTGTCCGTTACGATGGCCAGTAGCCTTCTTCCTCTCTCCCTGCTTTCTCCTGCCTCCTTTTCCTCCGTAACTTCTGGACACTGGTCATTTTCTGGTGTAATGGTTTAGTTTACATTTTAATGTTTGATAGGCTTTAGTGAACTTTGTCTTCCATGGTATTTTCTATTAGCTTTTTAAAATTACTAATTCTTTTGTCTCCATACTATTCTATGGCAATATATTTCAGAGCTTGTCTGTATAATAGAGTCAAACACACTTGTTAAAAATATATATATATATAAATAATCCTATTAAGTTTCCTAATTAGTTCTTTTTAATTCCATTGTTTAGTTTATACCCATTGTTTAAAAAATATATAGTATTTTTAATCTGAAATTGTATCACGTTCTGGTATCTTGGGTACTTTTTCTGTTACAAATCCTGCAGAATAGGATAAAATTATCATATGTATATAGAAATCCCTTAAGCATCAATGTATTTCTGCCTTTGAGTCTCCCTGTAGCAGCATATTTGTATATAACTGGCACTGTATTTGTTAGTAAATGGATGGTTGTAATAACAGGTCTTGGATAGGCTATAGCTCATGCTGCTATACTGAAATAACTACCTAGAATAATGCATTATCAGAGAAAGAGACTAAAGTTCATCTGGGATGAATTACTTTTGCTGTTAATTGGTTATACATTTTCTAGTGTCGTTTCTTGTTTAATTCATGAAAAGGAAACAATGAGAGTCCTGCAGCATATCCTGACTATTTATGTAGCTGAGCTAGAAGATGCAGTGTTCCACACAGATTCTGATAAATCACACAGCAGAATCCTTTTACTTTTATTTTTTATTTTTATTTTTCAAGTATGTGACTGTCATGTTTGTGATATGTGCCAAATAAGCAAATGTGGAATGATGCCTGTGTGTTCATCTACAAAATGTTTGCGAATTATTTGCCTAACCTATATTCAGAATGAGTCCAGAGTGCAAGATGCACTAATTGGTGGAACTGAGAAACCAGAATAAGAATCTTTTGCTCAGCCTACACTTCATGTGTATCTGATGATGATGTTACATTATTTTTATTTTATTTTTATGCCAAAGAATGTGTTCATTGTTTGTAATTTGCTACTGTTCTTTAGTGTTTGTTGTTCTCCTGTTTGTCATAAAATTAGTGGACAAAGCAAAAACACTGCCGTGTAGCTTAAACACAAATTAAACAAACTGCAAACATACTTGCAGCCTGAAAACTAAGCAATGAATTACAAAATGTGAATCACAAATGTGTGAATATATATGTATCGGTATATTTATTTTTTTTTTAATTTATGTGGATTTTTTTTAGGTAGTAAAAGGAATTGTATTTATTGGACAAATGGCACTCTTATCCTTATTCTGAATAGTTTTTCTGAAATATACCATTTTATCTGAATCTTTCCTAACAGTCAATATAGTGCTTATTGTTACTGAACACATCTGAGACAGAATTAGAAACTGAAACCTTACATAACGCTGTAGATCTGCGCGTAAGAAATTTATCCAATATTCTTTTGTGACTTTTGGCTAGTGAACATGTTGAATGGAATGAGGAACTTAACACCTGTATTAGCTTCTTAAAGGCCATTTCTGTCACAGCCTTCAAAATTTCTAACAGATCATTTTCAATAACAGAAGACCCACAGTGAAAAGCCAAGATATATCTTACTTTTAGAATCTGGCCTATGATGTTAATCCTTTTTCCTTTTGAAATTATAAGAGTCTGGATGATTAGAGATAAAAGCTATCATAATATGCTACTATCATTCCCTTCATTTGAAAACTAGTTCTATTTTGAATATTAATCAGTTCTAGGAAAAGTAATCTTTTCAGAATACTTTATCTTGGGTACACCTAATCTATGTGTTGAACGATGCCATGAATCAATGAAAATTAAAGAGCTGTGGCACTATGTCTGTCTAGAGTTGTCCAGAGTTTCTGGACCTGCTAAACTATCATTTTCTTATTAATCTGAGAAACTCCAGGAAAAGCGGATGATTTCTATGATTTTTTATACTTACAGAAATGCTTAAGACTCATTTTACCAATAACTTAATTAAAAGAGTAGCAGCTTGGTTTTGCAGTCACATAAGATTTAGAAATCTCCAGCTGTGTGCACTTCAGGAAGTCAAAGTAAGAAAACAAATGAATCAAATGTAATTATCAAAGGTTTTCTCATAGTGACTTTTTCCATAGAGCATGTCATACAGCTTTCCTAGTGGCACATCAGGGCTATTGAAAACCTCCTTTTTCCTATGCCTAATCTTACTCTTCACACAACAGATTTGCAGGCAAATAGTAGACTGCATACTTCCCAGGAGAGTGAGTGCACTTGAAGTCATACTGCCTTGATAGGTGATCCCTGTGTATTAAACCTGCACAAATGTCTGTCTTTTCACTCCTGAAATATCTATGGCTAAAAGATCAGATGGAAGTACGCTGTCACCCCCAAAACAATTATGTAGTTTGACCTCAGCTGTCTTTTTTTACCCAGGTTTCCTCAAGAGCCAGGGAGTATATGTTCCAAGCCGGCCATATGCAGTATCACAAAGTATATGGGGCAGAATAAGCTATGAAAGAAATCTAGATATGGGTTGTAAACATCAAAACACTTCATCTCACCAATAGTTCACAGAATCTTTGGTGTTCAAAATGCTGTTGTTGTAGAAAAGGGCATCTAGGAGTACAGCTTAATTCAAATGGACTAACCTGTTCAGTGGAAGACACAATACCCTTGATTTATTCCACAAATCTTAGAATCGTTTAGGTTGGAAAAGACATTCAAGATCACCACATAAAACAATCAACCTGACCTACCAAGTCCCATCATGCCCCTTAGTGTCATGTCCACATGTTTCTTAAATACCTCTGGGTATTTAAGATAGGGACTCCGCCGCTTCCCTGGGCAACCCATTCCAATGCCTGACCAGCCTCTCTGTGAAGAAATTCCTTCTAATACCCAATCTAAACCTCTCCTTGAGAAGAGGTTATTCTGTTATTTTTATTTCAACATGTCTGTGGGGTGAAACTTAACTTCTAAGGTAGCATTAGATTCTTCATGAAAGAATCTAATTTTCATTTCTTCTCTAGGCACAAAGGTAAAATAGCAATGAAATTACATCCTGCAAAACTGCAAAACTGTGATATTCCAAGGTTCATCTTGTTCCTCATCAATTTTGCATACTAAATTTTAGTTCCATATATTTTAGAATCAGTATTGTAAACCATTCAGTGTGGCACCAAAAAGCACAAATTGATTATTTACTTTCATTAAAATAATTATTTCTATCTATTTCAATATAATTGTAGCATTAGAGATCTTACAAGAAGGTGTGAGAATGAAAGTAGGCAAGAAGCAATTTAATGCATGTAAGTTTCAAAATCTCACAAATATCCAGACAGTCATTATTTCATTAAAAAATAAAAATAAAAATTAAAAAATAAATGCTGAAGTTTATTCTACCACCATAATAATTTCCCAAACAGTCCTCCACCGGTGGAAGAGGTTAAATATCTAAAAACACTCAAGTGTGTCTTTTTTTTTTTTTCTAGGGATGCAAATATGTCATCAACTGTATTATTCACTGGAGATGGCCCATTTGCTGCCATCACCAAAACAGCTAACCAAAGCCTCATATTTACAAAAAGGTGCGTAGAGTGAGGTTTCTTCCTCATACAAAGGATAATTGTAAGTATGGTGACTGCCACTAATACAGTAATTTCTACCTCAAGTTTTTCTGAGGGGTAACATGGTTCTGTACAAGGTAGTATCAAAATAGCTAGGTTTTATTCTCTATCTGCTGATGAATTTTATATAACACTGGGCAACTCACTTTCCCCCCTTCCATTCCTGTCTGTTATTGAATTTCAAAGGAAAGAGATGCTTGCTGCATTTTTAGCCAGCATTCAGTACAGTTTTATGTGAAGTCTTTAAACATTGAAATGTGGAAACGTGGAAATGATAAATACCATTATTTTTACATTTCTTTTTACATGGACTCTCTAAACTATGAATATATACTACATTACTTTGAGCACCTATGGAAGGATTAAAATGGAGTGGTATTCCCACATTGTTATATAAGAGATAACACACTAGGTTCTCTCCAAAATCAGTAGCAAAAATACGCACTTCCAAATTGTGATTCATCAAGCTATCTTTGCTGGAATAAAATGAATCACATCTGTAATCCATTGACTTTACTGATATAAATTTAGAGCTACAGACAGATGTTTAGACAAATTAATCTCACCCAAAAATGACTTCTGGGTTTGTCTCAACATTTAGAACTGAATAATTAGGTGAGATGCATTTGATTATACCCTTAACCTTTCTCATTCCAAATGAACTTCAGTTCACTTGAAGTGATTCTGAAGGGTCCTACAAACAGGTAGTATTTCTTGTAGATTAAATGAAATGGTAACATTTGCACAAGATTATATTCTCAGGAAATTATGGGATTTACAGGACACCTCCAAAAGGAGAAGGGCTTACTATCATCAAATAAAACATACAATGACTTCAGTTACTGTGTTTCTGCTTATGAGGGCACACATTTTCCTGGAATCCTACCAAAAATACTGATGCAGAAAATTACTGTATAATTGCTAAATTGCTGAAATGATGTTGAGGATGGAAAGAGTCCATATTCTTTCAAGTTTCCTTTATGAACATACCACATAGTAACAAAGCATGAGGGAATTCTCAATTCAATATGCTGTATTTTATCTAAATTTAAAACAAACAAACAAACAAACAAAAAAGCAAGCATTGTATCTTCTAGTTGCACTCTGTTAATCCTAAACATTTATCATTCCCATTGGTAGTAAAAGTATCTTTAACTAATTGGATATCATTACAACCTATTTTTCATTTTTTTCTTGACTACATGTCTAAATAAGGATAGCCAACAGACATCTTAAATAGTGGCAGTGATTTAAAGATACCTTCTAGTAATATCTGCTAAGCACTAAAAAGTGATTAATGCAGGAGGAAATGAAATAAATTTGTTCATCTTATTTGTATTTCTGTTGCTGAAATAGATATGTCTTCCATCATTTTTCACCTGGAAAGCCGATAGAAATCAGTTTTACAGGGTGACACCATTATAGTTTCCCATGCTTTTGTGGTATATACAATGAATGACAGAAAGGTCACATAGTTTTGATAATTAAAAAATCAAATGCTCGTAATCAGATTATAAAAGGTGTTGCTCACATTGCCTTTGGTAATATTCAAGCATAACTACCATAAAAGTAAAGGAGAGCACAGATCCTCAGCTGTGGTGCAGACAGTATAACTGTTCTCTGATGCCTTTAGGTAATGTATTTCTTGTACAAAAAATAGCTTTGTACAGGTCAAAATCATTACTTGAAGGTACATGAGCAGACGCCACAGGCATAATTGCTTTTGCCATTCCTAAGTGAAGACTATAATCACAGATATCCCATGTATTTTAGATTCCTGCTTTGCATGCACCTTAGATTGCACTCAGAGGGTCACATAAGATGGGTATGCAGTGCCCATGGAATGCCTCTGTTGCCTTTTGGAGTCTCCCGAGTTTACCGAGAGGTAGCCGAAGACTAGTAAACTGAAGTGCAGGCAAAGAAGTGTTTTTTATACTGTGAGCTTACTCCAAAAAGATGAAAAAGCAGAAGCCCATAAATACCTTATATGAAAGCAATCAGTAAGCAGTGATGGTGGGAGATACATGTGACTCGATTATATGCAAATCCCTTCTTCAATGTAAAAAAAAAAAAACAAAAAAACAAAAAACAAATCTAACATGTTGGATAGTTTATATGATACAATACAAGGCTAGAGGCATATCTCACTCACTCACCTTCACCATGGTGCAGATTTAATTGGGTAGTGGAGCGGAGGGTTACTTCTTCTCACTTGCCCTTCTTGCATTACTATGCCATTGTGAAAATGCTGGGTCATGTCACCCCCCTCACAACAGATTTCAAATTTTAGTGTAAACATAGTGAGGGATGCATAATACCACATCATGTTTAAAGAATCCTTCCCTTTTTCTCTTTTAAAAAGAGATACTGTGAACTAGCCTTTGGCAGTCTTTTTTATTTTTCTCTGATATATTTCTGTGTGCATCAGATTTAAATTGCTGGCACACATACTGTCCCAAGTGTTCAGATTCATTACAAGCTATGAAGATAATCTTAAAACCTCTGGGTATCAGAAATGCTCAAGTTGTTTTGATCTGTGGTCTCATGCTGTTCAGGCTCTGGCTTTATCTCTGCTAAATAATTCCTAACCCTCTATACGCAGCTATATACTTTATAGTGCACTGTAATCTTAGTAAAGAAGATACATTAATACCAAACTAACCCCTTTTAAAAATTCTTTGGTTACACTGATCTCTAGTGGTTAGTTTTTGAAAACTTCTCAAAAGGCAGAAAAAATTGCCATATCCTGTTACAATGTTGTTGAGAATCTGTCATAAGCAGATGACTTGTTCACTTAAATCACAAGGGAAATCTACTTTTATTTCCAAAACATGCATCAATTAAGTGTCCATTAAAGAAGAACATATACATGTAATATTATATATAAAAAATATTTTGTATTTATAGTTAAAAAATTAAAACATGGAGGACTGTATCCAAAATACTATGTTTAACAGTTTGATAAACTAATCAAACTAAAGTGCTTATATATATTAGAGAGAGAGTGTTACCTGGTGTGCAGATACTTGTGATTTAATTGTACTTTTATTCTAGAGAACACTGTTTGAACAACCAGGTGATTCATCTGCAATGTAACATTAAACGTAAGTACAAACACCTTGGGAATGTTTAACACAGAAATCAGATTGTTCAGTCCATAAGCATGATGTTTATAGTTTGAATTGAAAGGTTAGGGAATGGACTATAAAAGCTGTACTTGTAATTATATAAACAGAAAAATTTATAATCTTCACTTGTTTTCAGAGTTAAGTATACACTGCATTTGGGTCTATACAGAAATCGTATATACACATATATATAAAAATGTCAAGGTCTCAGAAGATATAAATCTAAATCCAAGTTACAAAGTTTCATTTTGATTTCAGCTATAAAATGACTTCCTCCACGATAATAGCATTTTTGAATAGCAGGTCAGGTAGTACAAAGTCTATTTTTCCAAGAATATTAACTATTCTAATAAAATGTACCATATTACCCTACAAACATATTTAAACCACTATTTGTTGTTGTTGTTGTTGTTATTTTAGCTTGTGGACAACGCTTGGTAACTCAGAACAATAGAACAAGGATTGTAGGTGGAAGTGATGCCAGAAGAGAAGCTTGGCCTTGGGTAGTCTCACTTCATTTTAATTCCATGCATCTTTGTGGAGCCTCCCTTGTCAGCGAGGAATGGCTGGTGACAGCAGCACACTGTGTATATGGGTAATGTTCAATGCACTCATAAATTAGCACATGCTATTACTCCCCCAACATGCAAGTATCCTAATGGCAAGTGGCTGTCAGTAAAGCTGGGTTGAAGTGTAGTCCTGAGCCATCAGTCAGTCCTATACAGAGAAAAGCATACTTTCAAAGGATTGTACTGAAAACACTCAGGAATGACACTTTTTTGAGGCTTATTAGATGTTTTGAAGTAAATTAATATAAATTCACAAGTGTATCTTCGTCTCCACTGACTACGGGGCATCATGCCAACTAGCTGAGATTGTCATATAACATCCATGCCATGCCTTTTCTTTTTGATTTTAAGAACGATGGTAAAACACTTTTTTTTTATGTGCAGGTTCACTAAGGGGGCATCAGATAATGAATAACTTGTGATACAGATACAAAAAATTAAAATCTTGCTCACTCTTTAATTACTGTGTTTTGAAGCTCATGGAGCTTCAAGCTAAAGGCTCTTTTGCCTACTGGGAAATCCTCAATCTGTACTCTAAAGCAGAGAATCAAGGAAACTAAGAAGCATTTTCTGAACAATGAAGAATTACATTTTGAACATATGGTATTAATACCAAGCATTTGCACTTAAACCATGAGCAATTTGGGCCCCCATTACTTACTTCAGTCTCTGTCAATGCTCTAAAGGACGAGGTGTTTCAGAAAGGTATATTCAGTGTTGCCTGTCCCTCTTGTATACGGCTATTGATTGATCAAGATCAGCTGTGTGTAATTGGAATGAATCTTGATTTATGTGCATTGATTAGACAATACTGGATGCTCTCTAGCTGGTGTTATTTGTACCATTCAAAGAAGTGATACATATTAAAATAGTTTCTAAGGTTTGCCTCCATAACGTCTATCATAGAAACACGTTATGTAGAAGACACCCAGAAACTGGAATGGCAAAAAAGAAACATTTCTGTTCAAAGTTACAGTAGAGTTTTAATTATAAATAGATTAACAATAATGCAGTACAGACTATGCCAATATATGAGTGCCTCCTCATTGTATGACAAGAGCCATATTCCTGTCACAAAGCCATTGAAATTAGGAGGATCAAGCCCTCTTAGTTTGCACACAATAAGTCCACATCTATTTTGGTGCTTCCTTTTCACTTATATCACCTTTCTCTTTTCACTTAAATCTCATTTTATCACCTTGACTTTGCTGTAGTTTTCCTTAAGTGCAAGCTTCCAGTTGCATCCCTTAATTCTGAATATTTAACTTAAATGCTTACATTTGGAAGAAGATAACCTCTTGATGTCAGACTAAAAGATAAGCAGAAACCAATTTCATGCAATATGGCTGAAAATATATTTTTGAAAATACTAACTGGTTGATTTAAAAAAAAAAACAAAAACAAATATATAAGTTCTCTAACTTAGATACAGTCTCAACTATGTAACCCAGGGAAAAAAAAATAATGAATAAATAAATAAAAAAGATTATGCCATAGTTTGTCTAAACATATTGTTTTCATTTTAGATAAAAAAATTAAGAGACCAGTTTTCTGAGTCAGTGAGCTGAAGCATTTTCTACAACATTGTAAATCTATTATTCTTTAGATAACTCCAAAATAATTTTCTAACTGGGACCAATATTAATTGCATTATGGGCAGTCAGCAGTATTCTTCCCAATGTTTAAAAAGCCATAGCAATTTAGTTAATGTATTTTCCTCCACTGCATTGCTATCTGATTAATTCTTATAAATAATACATTATAAGCTTAACATCAAGAATCAACCATGTATTTCTACTATATGGATGTTTAAAATGGTATTACTATCACAAAATTGTAAGCACAGCCACTACATATTCATATTTATTTTGAGAAAATGTGAACATGTTATGAATTGCTTGGAGGTTAAAGATTAGCATTTTATCTAACGTATTTTTCAGAATTTTCATTAATCATTCAAAATTGTGAATATTCCTTGCAACTTCTAGGAGACATTTACAACCATCTAAATGGAAGGCAGTTCTTGGCTTGCATGACCAATTGAATATGACACACCCCTCAACAGTAGTTCGATACATCAATCAAATAATTATAAATCCTCATTACAATAAGCTTACAAAAGACAGTGATATTGCTCTGATGCATCTTCAGTACAAAGTGCAATATACAGGTAAATAAGTGAGTTGGTATTTTATCATAAAATATATTTATTCTATTATGCTGAGCTCTTAAATATGCTAAGCATTTGAGGGTGATGGAATGGCTGTACATTTTTTACAACCTAATAAATCAATCCAGTACTTCCTGGTTATTTTGCTCCCCAAAGTGAATTTGAGTTAATGAACATTTTCTTTTGTGACTCCATAAAAAACAGAATACAGGAAAGAGGTTGAAATTGATTGTTTATTTCACATTCACAGACTACATACAACCTGTCTGCTTACCAGAAAAAAATCAACAGTTTTTGCCAGGAACTAGCTGCTTCATTGCTGGCTGGGGTGATACTACAAGCGGAGGTGAGTCATCTGTGGGAAAATTATAACAGGCATGAAGCCATGAGGGAAAGTCTGCTCCTGATTCCACAGGAGCAAAACAGATTAGAGATGTACTCCATACAGAATTTTTGGAGCTATCCCACTCACCCACTCTTTCTTCCCCAAAGCAAAGTAGAACATGTTTATTAGGAAAAAACAAAACAAAACAAAACAAACAAACAAAAAAAACCATATCTACAACCATTAAATTATGAAAAAGCTTACTGCATCCCACTTAGGAGTTACAACTACTATTTTCTCAATATGAAATACGAACATCTTACTTCAAGATATTTGGGGAGGGTGAAGGAAGGGGAAGGGAAAAAAGCCCAGTGTTTCTGAAAATGTGCAAATGATTTTCTTCAGAAGTCAAGTATACTGACTGTAGCGTGAAATGTATATTCTATTTGTAAATCCCCTTCTCAAGATTTGGAATCTCTGTAAAGTAATGAACATGCCATTTCACTTCCATGGTTGCTTATAAATATTTGCACCTCAATTTTCAGAGTAAAATTGCAATTAAAGTTTCAGTTGGAAACAAGTAACAGAAATTTTTATAAAAACTAGAAATACCCGGTCAAAGTTATACAATGAATAGAGTGGAAACATTGGGCAATCTAAGCTTCTAAGCCTTCAATTAGCTCTCAGACCTATCCACAGTAAGTTCATAGTCATTGATTTTAATAACCTTAATTCAATTATAACCAAATTCAGTCCTGTTGCACAAATGAAAGACAGGATTCAGTTAATGAGCACCATTTAATCAGTGATTGTGTTTCAGGGGCATAAACCTGAATAATACAGCAGTGCAGCAGGGCTTCCTACTGTTTGGAAACATGCCCAACATGTTGGATCAAGAACAAAATTATTGGTATTCTGAGCATGTTGTACATATTTATTGAAACATAGTCTGTATGTTCATCAGGTTCCTCTTCAAATATATTGCAAGAAGCAGAGGTCCCTCTCATTTTAAATGACAAATGCCAGCAATGGATGCCAGAATATAGTATTACTGAAAATATGATCTGTGCAGGCTATGACACAGGAGGAATAGATTCCTGTCAGGTAAGGATAAGTGACTCATTTTCACTGCAAGCACACGGTACATTTAATTATGGGAAAAAGTGATCCTCCAGTCATTAAAACCTGGACTGTGAATCACTGTGAATATAATTTCTACTCACAATATTTTGCCTATTTAGTACTTTATTGGGATACATGTTATAATAAAAATCTGTTTTGTATCATCTTGACATAAACAACCTTATAGAGAGATAAATATGAGGACTGGAAATTTTCTGCACAAAACTTTGAATAATTAGTTCTGAGTAATTCCATGGAGGAAAAAGGAACACATTTAGGAAAAAGCAGGGTACAGAGAAATAAATACCAATAAAGCAAAATCTCAGAAATACCTCACCCAAGGAAAGGGAGAGAGCAATGATGCTTTTCCCCAGAATATGTAGGCTCTGGAGATGTTTTATGAGTGAACATCACAGTATTTTGGAGAGGCTGTTTACTGGGGCTTTCAGTTCTGTCCATTCCCGCTCTGCTTTTAATGCACTGCATATCCTTGAGGGCATAGTCAGTGTAGGCCAACACATTTTTCTTCCAGCAACGTGGAATCTACAGCATGGAGATTGCCTGGCTCTCCTCAATAAGGAACACTCACATAACTGATGTTGCCTTAGTGCCCTGCCCTGAGCCTTCATCAGGTGCAGTGACTTTGGCTACTTTAGTCAAAGACGAGTGTATGCAAGCTTACTTTCATTTTCCTTTCCTTCAGCCTCTGTAGCTTTCCTTTTTGTTTCCTGCCCTTCTAACTGAAAAAAAAAAAAAGTAAAAAAAAAAAAGTGTAGCGCCGTAGGTTGATAAAGAGTACAAGTGACCAGCATTGCCATCTATGGCCATTCAACCATGAGCAAAGAGGAACAAGTGATTCCTGATACTGCTTCAGCCTTTAGGCTGCTGTCACAGCCTTTGAACTTTTGTGGATGCTCTAGATTTATGGGCAGAAGTATTTTAATAGCTGAGTCCCCACAGAACTCTTCCCTAAAGCTCCCTTCAAAGAACCGAAAGAAGACAACAGTAATACTGGTTGAACTAACTAGCTCCAGAATAGACAACAAAAAATAATCATTGTTTTCTTTTTCATCAAAACAAGACATGAAAGGTCACTCAGGCTGTGGGATGAATTAAATTTATCTCCCGCACTCTCTTGCATCTGCTAACCCATTGAGAAAGAGGTGGCAGAAAAGTACATCTCCTCTTCTGGCAATCTTGCCATCATTTTCTCTAAATTTGAAATTGCCAAAGGTCGGGGGACAGAAAATAGAACTGTATTTTAGCTAAATAGACTCATCTGGAAAATAATTCTACACATTTACCCAAGCTTTGTGAAAAATGAAGGTATTTACCACCAACAAATGTATATATACATATAAATGTATAATAATCTTTTGAAACTCAGTCCTCTACTAAAAGACTGATGAGAGTTTAAAATCACATCCTTTTTTATTATTAAAAAAAAAAAATCATAGATTATTTATAGATTATAAATATAGAGAGATTACATATAAACTTTTTAAAATAGATTATTTCTGTGTTTTCTGTATGGAAGAATCCACATTACTCTAATTTCTGGTGTCCAAGGCATAAAAAGATACAGTGTTCATGATTAAAGATCATCAAGAAAAAAAAAAACAAAAAAAACACATTATAACCAACAGCCTCTGGTTAACAGCTGACACTGTTCACGTTTAACTTTTGAATTGCATATTGCAGGGAGATTCAGGAGGCCCTCTGATGTTTGAAGATGGTAACAAGTGGGTTTTGGTAGGTGTAACATCATTTGGCTATAAGTGTGCACTTCCCGAACGACCAGGAGTGTATACTCGAGTCACCATGTTTGTGGACTGGATACAAAATACCATCTATTACCTTGATATTTTTTAATGATAGAAATTGAATTTAAAGGTTGAAAGTAAGCCTGTATAATAATGCAAAAGAGACTAGCATTCAAAACTCACAATTAGAGAAACTGAAAAGGTATAATTCAAAGTTCAGTCTAGATTTAAATTTAGGGAAAGAAATATTAATAATTGAAAATTACTTTCTTTATAAAAAATTGAGAGGAATATATCAAAACAGATTCTATACTTTTTAATAGTTTTATAATTTTACTTTTTCCTTTATATGAAAGGTAATTCTGCTATCTATCCACTGTGTGGGGAAATGGTTTCTTTGAACAGCAGTGTATTAAATGCATAGTAGAGGGCTTTACAAAGCATGGCAAGGGAGGGAGGGAAGAAGGAAGGAAAGAAGGAAGAAAATTAGTTTTCAAATCACAAATGCTTTATTGAAAAATGGTCTAAATTATTAATTTCAGGCCTGACATTAACTATGTTTACGATTTTACACTATTTCCCAAGGTGCATTCTTATTTCAATGCATAGTCAATTCTTCTCACTAATTGCCATGTATTGAAATGAAAGTATACGTTATCTGTTGAAACTGGACTCATGGGAGTTCTTCTAACTTGGCTGTTACAAAAAGCTCTGATGTGATATTAGTAGATTGTGCATAAAGGTTAATCCTGTATCATCCTGCTTTATAATGAACAAACTTGAATGTAAGATTAAAGTTATCTCCAGTGCAATTTGTTTGGAATTAATAGAGTTAAATAAAGATGGAAAATAGCTTTTTAGTTTTCTTTTTATGCAAGTGTTTTGGTAATTATTCAAATAATTACAGATATGTACTTGTGTAGACCCTGGCACAAACTGACAGTACTACAACTTCTCATAAAATACAATATATTTTTTTAAAATCCTGACAATAATGAAGATCATGGTGAATAAAATGTACTTTTGTACATTTTTGTACATTGTACTGATAGTTTATGCTACATAATACAATGTACAATGTTTGTACATTGTACTGATAGTTTATGCTTTTCTGTCCTTTTCTGTGCTTTTCTTTTACTGTCCAGGGGACTTTTAATGTTGATTTTGTGTTTTGTTTAAAATCTATCCTGATTGCCTATTAACAGCATTCCAAATTGTAAAAAGTATGGGGAAAAAATCTGTTTGATCTTAATGGTCTAAATATAGTTCTATTAAAACACTACTCTCTTCTTGTTAAAATGCCTTAAATTCAGTGGTGTCTAAATGTTGGCGTAAGGTGATGCGTATTCTGCTTATAACCTAGTATAGAAATTTAATACCTTTTAATTCTGCAGCACCACATGAAAATACAAAATGCATTCTCATTTACTGGATATATGTATCTGTACGTATACACATAGATCAATGATTTTTGTAAGACGTTTCAATGCTTGGTGTTTACAATGCTAAATGCTGCTCTGAAGTGCCCAGAAGCTAGCTTACAAACACAGGTTGGCAGTTATTGAGGAAAAAAATAAAATAAAATAAAATAAAAATCAAGATTCCTGAAGAAGACCCAAAAATTACAAATTCTCCCTGGCCAAGTATAGTAGCTGCTTCCCTCTCCTTTTTTTTTTTTTTTTTTTTTTTTTTTTCCCCTTAAAAAATTGAAACCATCTGGGTAGAAATAATCTATCTGGATCAGAGGTAACTAGTTACAATCTATTAGTGATTAGAATATAGGCAAACATTTTCTTCTTCAGCTGTTGTAGAAATGTTTAATTTTACAGATGACCACCTAAACATGCTAATCAATGTAATAAAATGAGATGCCAAAAAATCTCTTCTATCAGAAAAGACCTACAACACCACTTCACACAACATTTCCAGATGTCCAAAGCAAGCAAGATTGAACATATGTAAAAGGAAGTAGTGTTTTTATCTTTGCAAATTAACTGGCTACAGATATTTCTTTTATTGTTAATCTGTTCTTAAACTATGTGGGGGTGGAAAGTTGGTTAAAATATTAAGAGTTCAAAACCTTATATTTAGTAGTGGTCTGTTTCTCTTGTTCCTCTCCTTCACTGGAAAAAAAATAATAAAAAGAAAAAATAAAGTGCATTCTCTAATCAAGTATAAATTGATGTGGATGAAGTAATTACATTAAAATGATTAAAATGTGACATGATTTCAGCATTATTTATCATACATCACTACTATAAATGGCATTTCATTCTGTTAATGAAATATAAGAGCCAACTCAAAGCATATCCAGTTACTAGTAAATGTGCTTCCAAGAAATATAGTATCTTTCTGTGTGTCTGTTTTGCTTCCCAAAATGCAAAGCACAGATGTATTTTGAGGTATACATTAATAAATCATTACATCAAACTTAAAAGTTTCCTATTATAAAATCCCATACAGAAACATATATATATAATGTAGACTAGTATACTTAAACATTTTATTTCAATTATGTCTAGATGAAATCAACATAACCTTCTTAGTCAAGCACATTTTAACCTTCATTCAGCATCCATTAGTTTAGTATGCCCATGTTATATTAGTCTGTGGTGAAACCAGTTTTTACTGAAATAAAATATGTGGGCAGCATGGATTATTTTTGATTTGAGTTTGGCCTGAGATGCTTCAAAATAGGGTATGGATGCTTGATGCTGATACATACTTGCTTGCACCTAAAATGATTAAAAGGTTAAAGAAGAAAATAAGAGCTTTCTCTCCGAAATGCTTCTTGTTTGCAAAAGGCCAAGATCACTAAGGAAAAAAAAAGAAAAATTACATTCCTTGGGGATGACTGGAGCAGGAAATATAAAGTTTTTTAGAATGCCATATTGAAGTCATGCTGTCCATCTGAGGCCTAGTTAAGTTTTTACTCTTCTTCGTCCTTCAGTTCCTTGCCTCACACCTCCTGCTGCTGTCTGCAAGAGATTTAGAAGGGAATGTGGTCACCATGAGCTGACCCCATAGCTGTAAGTAGAAGCCAAGGAGCTGATTCAGAGTGGCTGTAGTTGATGAAATCTGACACCTGAAACTGCTTCTTTCTCCAGTCTGTAGAATTTAATGTGAATATGAAGGACAGAAAAGTGGTGGAGTTTCTTTGCCTTTTTTTTTTTTTAATAGCAATTCTGTTATCACTACTATACCGTTTCACATAAATAGCTTTGGTTTTCCTGGATTCTTTAAGCCCCCCAAAAATCCAAAGGAAATACCAACACAAAGTCTAATTTCTAGGTGTTCAGTCTGCAAGTGCAAATCACATGTTTCTCCCCCTTTCCTCTATTACTACTAGCCCTATCTCCCTTTTGCATATGGAAATAGGAAAATAAAGGTGAAAGAAATTGTGTACGTATAGAATTTATATGTTGTACATGAAAGAGAATCATCAGTTTAAAGATGGGACTAACTGGTGCAAGACTACACAGTTCATTCCGTGCACCATTTGTTATTTTTAACATAGGACTCTTAAAACTGTTCAGATTTTACCCTTGTATTTAGGAACCCAAGTCCTAGGCAAAGGAAATACATGCATAGAAACTATTTCCTTCTCTTGGTAAGGTGAAATGATACATACCAACCGCATGAAGTTCAATAAGAGCAAGTGCCAGGTCCTGCACCTGGGACAGGGAAACCCTGGCTGCACGTACAGACTGGGCGATGAGACGCTGGAGAGCAGCCTAGAAGAGAGGGATCTGGGGGTCGTGGTAGACAGCAAGTTGAATATGAGCCAGCAGTGTGCCCTGGCAGCCAGGAGGGCCAACCGTGTCCTGGGGTGCATCAAGCACGGCATCGCTAGTAGGTCAAGGGAGGTGATTGTCCCGCTCTACTCTGCGCTGGTGCGGCCTCACCTCGAGTACTGTGTGCAGTTCTGGGCACCACAGTATAAAAAGGACATGAAACTGTTGGAGAGTGTCCAGAGGAGGGCTACGAAGATGGTGAAAGGCCTGGAGGGGGAAGACGTACGAGGAACGGCTGAGGGCACTGGGCCTGTTCAGCCTGGAGAAGAGGAGGCTGAGGGGAGACCTCATCACAGTCTACAACTTCCTCGTAAGGGGGTGTCGAGAGGCAGGAGACCTTTTCTCCATTAACACCAGCGACAGGACCCGCGGGAACGGGGTTAAGCTGAGGCAGGGGAAGTTTAGGCTTGACATCAGGAGGGGGTTCTTCACAGAGAGAGTGGTTGCACACTGGAACAGGCTCCCCAGGGAAGTGGTCACTGCACCGAGCCTGACTGAATTTAAGAAGAGATTGGACTGTGCACTTAGTCACATGGTCTGAACTTTTGGGTAGACCTTTGCGGTGTCAAGAGTTGGACTTGATGATCCTTAAGGGTCCCTTCCAACTCAGGATATTCTATGATTCTATGATTCTATAAATGATACTGGTCCACACTGATAAATGCCCAGCAATCACCTTTTCCCTTTAGGAAAGACATCTGAAGGTTTTTGAGTTCTCCTGATTGCTATATGTCAACTACTCCTGACACTTCTGCTATACTAATCCCAATATTGACTGTCAATGTCTTTTAGAAGCACAAAGTATGAAGAAATGGTAGCTCTGTAGTTCTATGTGAACCTTCTCCCTCCCTCCCTATTTCCTTAAGCGAGTTAATGTTTAAAGACCAAGTTCTTATTAGCCCAGATGTTCCCAGGAAAGATGGAGCTCTTGGCCTCAGGTGAGTTAAGCAATAATTAGGTCAGAAAAAAAAAAAAATATATATATATATCTGGACTTGGTTATCAAGTTTTCTCCCTGTTCATAATCACTATAAAGGGAGCTGAATTAGGAGACTGAGCAAAGAAAGATGTTAAAGCTGATTGGAAAAACAGATACAGAATGTTGTAAATAGGAGGAGTGGCAATACTTAACGTGAACTACAGAAAAGCCTTCAAAGAGGAAGTAAAAATCATGGCATAACTGCAACTTTAAGATGGTTCCAGAAGTGTTTCAGCAATGTAATAGCATTGTACCATCAGTATTACTAGCAGTGAATATTTATAAATGCTTTTTTTTTTCCTCAGAAAAAAAATGATACACATTTCTCTTTGACCTTCAAAAGCTCATCATCAAAAGCTTCAAAAACATCAGCTAGCACAGCGTAGGCATCCCAATGCTGTTGGTTCTGTCCATCTCTTCCCAGTTTCCACCCAATAGTAGTCTTCTATTTATATTAACAGAAAACCTGACAAGTGTGAACTCATGCTTTTGAACTCTTGCTGCAAAGTGCAGCAAGACCCTTTAGCCTCTCTGCTACATCACCAAACTGTCACTAACAAATCATCCAGAGTGCTTTTACTAGCACCCTGAGATGCAGTACTAATGACTGCTAAATCCATTTTATAGCACAGAAAGCTCTTATAGAACCAGAGAGAATGAATGTTAATGATATTAGTAATATCTCTAAAAAAAGGACTTTGAATGCGTTGTGGTTACCTCTAGATCTATCAATTAACATAATTAACACTTTTCTAGATAATAGTCTGAGTAATGTTGGGATCAATTTCTTAGTACTACTTCCAAGACATGACATTTGTCTTTTCTTTGATCCAACATTATATTATTCATATCAAAATGTTAGCTATATTTAAATAATCTTTAATGTCTTCTTTTCATAGACTTACTGAAACAAGTAATTTTATTCTTAAACTCTTTCCTATTGGGATACTTACACTTTTTTTTTTTCCTCAGAAAAACTAAAAAAAGAAATAATTAGTTACAACCAAAGGCTGAATTCAAGGGACACCTCACTAATGTTTTATCGCTTGCCAAGTGATTTATGTTGCCCTTGTACCATATGTCAAGAAGATATGGTCACTCCCCGGCAACGTGGATTCATTATATAACATTAAACAACTTTTAATCTTTGAATTTTGCCACAGCAGATCAATGTCATAACATGGCAGCAGTCTCTGCCGGTGCGAATGGTTTATAAATACTAAAATAATTTGTGCCTTAGGATCAAAAACTGTCTTAAGCATGCAAATAAATACTAAACAAATATTTTGTATCAAACATTTATGCAAAGATAAATAATTGTTACACTGTAAAATTATCGGTTCCATTTACAGTACATCAACTAGGTTACAATGCATGAGAGACTAAAGGAAACAAAGAGGTTTTGTTTAACTACAAACAATCTATCTTAAAACTGATGCACATTGTAGATATGTCCTCATAAAAACTTCAGATGCTCTGTTCATTTCATTACTCACAACTAGCTAACTTACATCTCTTAGCAAAATAAACACATACCCTTTATTTAGCATGGCATATTTTGTTACTGAATTAATAATCAAACAGTATATAAAAATGATCTGAACATTTGCCTGAAGGGGGAGCTTAGAGTTCATTCTCGTAGATCCTTTGCATTTTCAAGCCATTCCAAGCTAATGTTCTTAGATGACATTATAATACAGCCTGACTGCAAAATGTTATTTTTGCTTTGCTTTCAGTCAGTAAATCATTATACCTCCATGCTACTGTCCTTCCTAGGCGTCTTTGAAATCCATAGTGTGGACTGGTTTGGACTTGTTTTTGTTCTTCCTTTACTGAAAAATAAAAATATAAACTATTTTCAGTTCGTGTGTACTTGTACAGGCCCTGAATCAAGTTTGTGATCACACATGGATCATCCCCTGTTTGATGGCCATTTTTGTTGCCATAGATTCCCCAACCACATAAGGGTCATGCCCATGCTGCGTCAAGCACAGTGCCACAGTGGTGAGGTCAGGGTAAGAAACTGTTACCAACATTACCAGACCACCCTCTTTAGGAGTTCCTCCCATGCAGTGAAGTGACTTGGATAGCATTTATTTTTTATTTTTCAGTTCACATTCATCCACACCTACTCATACAGTATAGTCTTCTCCATTTCTGGCCAGAGATTAAAACCCCTCTGGAAGACTACTCTGTAGGAATAGGTGTGGATGACTGTGTGGCCACTGTTTGAGCAGGGCAGGGGAAGGTTGATCACTTCCCTTGTATGGAAGGATGCATGGAGGACAGGAGTATACGCATCCCCAAACCTGTGTCCAACACGCACAAGCCCACCCACCCACGGTGACTACCACAACCATGCCCACACACATATCCTGGAGCTGTACCCCTGTGACCGTGACACGCTAATGGGTGCCAGCATGTAGAGGTAAACCAGAAAGCCTCTTCCCTTCAGAGCTCTACCTCATTTCTAATGAAATAATGGGATATGAGTCAGATTCCTAGCAATGAATGACCAGTAGAAAGCTTCCTTAGGCATAGTTTTCATTCGACACTTTTGATAGTAGTTTTTTTTGTGTGTTTTTTTGTTTGTTTTGTTTTGAGTAAAAAAGATAAAACCGGTCCCAAAATACTTGCTCTGGAACACTGCAAAACCATTCACTCTAATCTTCACAGGGAACCCTGAAGCACACTGTAAAATGAGGCTAGTCTCTCCATATGGGTAGCATCTTCTCTGGTCTGACTTCTACAGTGCACCACCTTCCCTCACTTACATGCTAGAGGACAGTGCGCTGCAGTCTGCTGAAAAGAACAGGCATTTTATGAGCCTCTGCAGCTGCATTTTGGTAAAAGTATTTCAGTCACTGGACAGAATGTTTCACACTGATATGTTTTCCAATTAAGTAAAAAGCAGAGGAGGAGAAGTGGCCTTTATGCCAGCACGTAATTCTGTAAGTTGGAAACCTGAGAGTCAAGATCCCAACAGCACTATACATTCAGTTTTACTCAGTTACTGGTATATTAATATAAGTGAGTCAGAATTGATTTGAAATGCACTCTGAGGGAGATGAACAGTTTTCAGTCCCTCCAGACTTACCTCTGAAGTCCTACAAAGTAATGCATTATGTACCTGAGCCCATTGGAGTAATTGAAAAGACTCCTATTGATTTCAGTGGACTTTAGATCAGGCCACAATGCTATAAACAAAGTAATTGCAATGGATCAAGTAGTTTCAGTGCCTCTTTCTTTAAGAAACTGATTCACTACTGCTTTTCAGATTAATAGAGCAAAATCAGGCATGTTTTTTAAATTTCTTGTGAAATGCTTTGAATGGAGAGTTCTTGCCACAGAGTAGGAACAATTTCTAAATAACTTGGGCCAGAACTATAGCTATGTAATACAAGCTTATCTTCAGTGAACCTACACTGATTTCCAACAGCTATACATCTGGTTCAGGAAACAGGTTTTAGTAAGAAAGGTGCAATAAATAGGCTGAGCATATTGCTGGTTTGACCATCAAATGCAATCATAGAAACTGAGACATATACCAGGTTGGAATTTAAACTTTCTGCAAGGCATTCAGATGATAATGGAGATGGGTCTTTGAAGCAGTTTCTCCTTGCTTCCCTGGAAGAAACGAAAGGGAGAGCATCTAAGCATGAATGAGCTGATCATTTCTACTAGCTACAGGGAAGATGATTTGCTTTGCCTTATTACTACCCTTTAAGAGCCCAACGCCAGGCAAAATTAGTCATGACCTTTCAAGCTAGGCATGTCCTGGTTGGCCATGGATTGTGGCTTTCAGAAGAAAGGTCACCATGTTGTAGAAGCCTAAAAAAGAATGAGAAATCAGGTTCATTCAGAAAATTGGGGGTCCCTCCTTCCCCGGCAGGACAGAATCCCTTTCTTAAAGCTCCGCACTGTGCAGCTGATCAGTTGAAGTGGTTGACTCTCTTTCATTTGTTTTTTGCCCAAGAACTGTGTACTTGGGATGAACCAAAATGATTTGTTAGGTATATCATATGTGGAAATATAACTGAAAATAACCATGGAAACACTTTTTAAAAAGAAAGATTTGTTTCAACAGTTACAAACAAATGTTCAATGATATCAGAATACAGATGAATTTTAATGGAAAAAAAAAAAAAAAAGATTTTGTCTTCCTTTATTAAAAGCTTTAGTATAACTCAAAATGAATGGTCTGGGAAAAAAAAAATGTTTTTGTTCTGGTTCAATCTATTTTCTTCCTAATTTTTGTATCATTTAGTCTCTCAAACCAATAAATTAACAGCACAATCTTCCAAGATGAATTTCCAATACCTGTGTCATGCAATATTTACTTATTGGAAGTTCAGATTAATTAATTCTGTATGAACTGCTATAGCATCAAAGGCCTGATCAAAGCCCGCTGAAGTCAACACTACTATTTCTATTGATTTCAGTGGGCCGTGAATCTCTCATTGTCTTCCTAAGACTGTTTGAGAGCCTTAGCCTCCACAATCCTCTTTCAGAGGGAGAAAAATCTTCCAGAAAAGGTATGAACATATATGTCATTATACTTACCAATAAATCCAGGTCCATTATAACATGTATTCCAGATTTAGGTTATTTATATAATTGTTATTGTTATACATTAGATTCCTTTTTTATTATTTTTTTCTTTGAGTTGCCAGCCTTTTATAGTCCATCTGCCAAGGTCTTATGTCTACAGTGCATACAACTTTTCACTACCCTGAATTTGCCTGCCATAAAGAGTTTGGAAAGCATGCATTTTCCTTTTCTTTATAGGGAAATGTGTATCATTAAGACACAATCTACATGTATTTTATATGGCAGACTTCGTAATACCATTTTTATATGTTCAGTTCTCTCAATGAGACACATTACTAAGAAGAGTTAAATGACAAACACAAACTAAAGGACTAAAAGTAAAGAGGAAAAAATCTTTTTTTTCTAATTTTCTGTAACAGTGATGTAAAATTCCCTGCTAGCGTTTCTGCACTTCAAGAGAATAGGGATAACAAAGCTTCTGAATCTGTTGCTCTTTTTATTTTGTAAAAATAAATTTTATCCATAAAATATACTTCAGGTTAAACTTCTCTGACTACAATAACTTGAGAACACTCTATGAAATGAATGCAGAATGAAAAATATCATTGAAAGTTACAGAAAGACTAGTTCAGAAAAAAAATGCATCTAGATTGTCATATTTTGGTACAACACATTTTGAGAAGGAAAAAGGTCAAAAGTATTTAAGTGTGAATCAAAACATATCCTGTTTCAAAAGCTGAAATGTTTCCTGTTTGCATAATAATAATGACTGTTTGAACATACTTGTGTATGCTTATCTATTTAACTTTATGTGTCTTCTTTGACAGATACATGACGTACAAAAAAGTTGCACTGGCGTGTGGCTCAAAACTAAATTTTGCTTTTTGTTTTCAATTTTACTGCTCCTGTAGCCCATCATGTTCATATGGGATGTGAACTGAAACATCATTAAACAGCTGCTAGTCCTGCTCAGAACAATCGTCCCTTTTTGTCAGAAAGTGAATTGAGTTCTTGAGTTTGCCCTGTATCACTGAGGACCCCACCTAAGCCCAGATGCTATATAGGAGGTAATCATGATGGAAGAGGTGAAATAAAAGTGCTGACAGTAGCTCAGTGTATCAATTGGTCAGCAAATCTTCAGAAACAGGTAAAGTCCTACTGGCAACCTACTTTGAGAGACATGGAACTATTCTAATTTATCTGTGGAAAAGTCTGAAGGTGAATGTTCAGCTCTAACAGCTGTAAACTACTTACATTTTAATAGATGAAAAGACGGTGCTTTGCATATTTGGGAACAGATGTAAGCAGTCTTTCAGTATGAATAGCTTGCCAATGGAAACATGAATTTTGCATTATAGAACCATTTTGAATCAGTATATTTTACCTTTTATGAAGCATCTGGAAACAGCAAGTCCCAAAAGCCACCAGTATCAACAGCAGCAGTGGTATAGTGGGTATTACAACATAAATTAGATTTGGAATTATACCTACAAGACAAAAAGTTCTCATTAATGCCTCCCATGTTGATATACACTTGACCACGTGAGTAAAATATCAGAAATACATTACATTACACACAAGGAAGGAAGGAAGGAAGGGAGGGGAGGAAGGAAAAGAAAAGAAAGAAAGAAAGAAAGAAGAAAGAAGAAAGAAGAAAAAGAAGGAAAGAAGGAAGAAGAAAGAATGAAATAAATAAGAAAGAAAGAAAGAAAGAAGAACGAAAGAACGAAAGAAAGAAAGAAAGAAAGAAAGAAAGAAAGACCGAAATACTAAGCCCCGCATAGACAAGAAAGAAAGAAAGAAAGACAAGCAGAAAGCCCCCAACGCAGACCGACAGAAGTCCGCCGCCAGCACGAAAGCCACAGAAAAGAAAGAAGAAAAAAAAAGAAAAGAAAAAGAAGAAAAGAAAGAAAGAAAGAAAGAAAGAAAGAAAGAATAGCATTTATGCATTTCTTCTGTAGGAAGAGCTCCAAAAAGATGACTCAGCAATATCAATAATAAAATACTACTTCCCCAATGATATGCAAAGCATACCTTGACAATTTAAATTCTGACATTTTCTTTGTGCAGCAATGAAAGATTTCCAATTTTGTGATTGAAAAATCAAGTATTTAAAATGATTTCCACAGTGCATATAACCTGTCTACTCAATTGCTGTGAGTTTCCTGGTGAGGAAACCAATTATGGTTTCCTGACTACACAGCACTACAAGAGGAACAAACTCTGCTCTTCCCATTCCCTTTAAAAGACATATGTAAACTGTCCCAGAATAACGTGGAGAGAGATGATGATGTTCCCCTGCAGGTTCCTGGGCAAAAGGAGTGGGAAGTGGTACAAGCTGGGACTCTATTATCTGCCTAGAATAGAAGATGAGGTTTACAGCTTCCAGAAAGGGTCTGTTTTTCAATAAGTGTATACCTGTGTTTTATAATACTATACAAATAGGGTACATATTGTGAAGACTTTCTTACCCATTGTTCTCTTCTGAACATATTTTCACTAGCAAGGATAAAGGCTGGGTTTGTTTGTTAGTGTTAGATTAATCTTTGAATGTGTTTTGTTTGATGGTTGGTTTGTTTTTTAATAGTAATATAAATTTCAAAACACAGTTCATCAATATATCTGTTCCTCTGGAGTTGCAAACAGTGGGAACATCAGTTGGGAAACTCACTCAAATTCAGCCAACAAATGTGGAAAGGGAGTGCCAACTTTCTATAATACCGTGCTGTAATCCTGTAAAACCCTGAGTTGCTTTTTAGAGTTGTTCCATTCCTTGAATTAAGGCTATGCTACTACTCTTCAAGAACTGCAGGGCATAGGACATAATTCAGGACCCTAGGCATACATCTGCAAAATATCAAGCACCTTCTTTACTACTTTCAGCAAAGCATTTAACCTCTCTTTGCATGTGGGGTTGGTGTTGGACCGGCACTGTTTAATGTTGGTGATATGTACAGTGGGATCAAGTGCACCCTCAGCAAGTTTACCTATGACACCAAACTGGGCCATGCAGTTGACACACTGAAAGGAAGGGATGCCATCCAGAGGCTTGAGAGGTGGGCCCGTGCAAACCTCCTAAGATTCAATAAGGCCAAGTGCAAGGTTCTGCATCTGGGCCAGGGCAAACCCAAGCATAAATACAGGCTGGGTGAAGAGTGGATTGAGACCAGCCTTGATGAGAAGACCTGGGTGTCTTGGTTGATGAGAAGTTCAACACGAGCCAGCAATGTGTTCTTGCAGCCCAGAAAGCCAGCCATGTCCTGGGCTACATAAAAAGAAGTGTGGCCAGCAGGACAAGGGAGGTGAGTCTCCCCCTCTGCTCTGCTCTCGTAAGACCACACCTGGAGCCCTTCGTTCAGCTCTGGGACACCCAGCAAAAGAAGGACATGGACCTGTTGGACTGAGTCCAGAGGAGAGCCACAGTGATAATCGAAGGGCTGGAGTACCTCTCCTATGAAGACAGGCTGAGGGAGTTGGGGTTGTTCAGCCTGGAGAAGAGAAGGCTCCAGGGAGACCTTATACCAGTCTTCCAGCACTTAAAGGGGCCTACAAGAAATTGCGAGAGAGACTCTTTGTCAAGGAGTGCATTGATAGGACAAGGGGTAATGGTTTTTAAGAGGTTAGATTTAGATTAGATATTAGAAAGAAATTCTTTTCTATGAGGGTGGTGAGGCACAGGAACAGGTTGCCCAGAGAAGCTGTGGATGCCTCATCCCTGGAAGTGTTCAAGGCCAGGCTGGATGGGGCTTTGAGTAACCTGGTTTAGTGGGAGGTGTCCCTGCCCATGGTGGGGGGGTGAAATTAGACAATCTTTAAGGTCCCTTCCACTCCAAACCGTCCTGTGATTCTGTGTGATGTTCATTAAAATACAGGGTATTTCAGGACATATGACATGGTGCTTAATCTGCAGATAACTGAAAACTTCATGCTGTGTCTGTTAGGAAGGATTCCTTTGTGCTGTCTTTGTGATCCCCAGGCATCAGATATAAAAAGATAAGCACCATATGTTTGTTTATCATGTAGGGTATGAAGATGGAAGGAGATGAAGAGACAAGGCATTGGCTATCACAGCCCTAGAAGGAAATGCTCCACAGCTGGATGAGGGCTGGTGAAATCTTACATCCTAACAGAGACTCACCTGCGTCAGAGACAGCAGTGCAGGTTTCAAGGACTGCTAAACTGCAGGCTTGGATCAAAATCTGGGGGGACATGGAAATATTTCTTTCCACAGTTACAAGTAGAACCACGTAGGACTCTTGAAATCAACTCAAAAGCATTCTTCTTCAGGGCACTCTCTGGGGCGACAGATTACTTCCTCCCATAGATAATAATGGAAGTTGTTAATAATTAACTGAGTCCTCTGTTAATGTTTTTACCATATCTCTAAATTCTTATGAACACATTACCTGTTTCAGTAGCTATAATGTGATACTGATCTTCTGGTTTCTGTGTGTCATATGGATTTCCTGCTGGCACTGTTGGAAAAATACCTGGAAAGGATATCAGATCTTTTAGGAAAACTGTGTGTATAAAATATAGCTGTTATGTTGTTTAATAAATTAATCATAATTACATTTTCATTTACATTGGAAAAAATAATTTTTCCAGGATTAAACTGCTGCATATAAGTGTGTAAATTTTATTGCAAAATTGTGCTTGTATCTGGAACCAGCATTATGACCAGCAGTATTTAAAATGATAGCCATATATTTGTAGCTATTAGTCTCTATAAGATAAATTTTTCACATGTTCCAGTACTAACCTATGTCTGTTAAACGTGAGTAATTTTGGAGCGTCTGGTAAATTATCCTTATAGTTATTTATTATTGCAATTCAATTCAGTGTATCAGAATTTCTTACCGTAATCTGGCTCTGCTCTGTCTCCTAATTCTTTTTCTAAGACATTGTCTGTTAAATCAATATTTGAAATCAATAGTTAAAGAGTTAGATGTGTAATAAAACAGATACTTTCATTGTTTTGCTTGTGGTATCACAGAAATAGATATATTCTCCAAAATAATAATTACTTATTTTTTTCAGCATTCAGTTTTCTTACCAAAGACTACTTGCATACTAGTGTCAATTCAATTCTAGTTCATACTTCCCCCCTCCCCTTTGAAAAGGGCTATACAGTTAATTGAAATTCTATTTCCTGGTGGCATCTGCTAGGTTATTGGCTTAATCACTGAATCTCTTAATTTCTTGTGCTAAATAAAACTCTTAACATATCCAAAGTTTCATTTACGCAGTTGATACTAAAACAGTACAAGAAAGGAAGTGTTCTTGATTAATACTTAAGTCTTATTCAGATTTTTAAAATAATGCCTAAAGAATGTTGGCTATAAAGCATAAAAAAGAAGCTCAAGTTTTTGAGGTCAGATGTCAGTTTCATGTAATTTGGTTTTACAATGGGCAGCCCTAAATGGGCAGTGGTTTCTAATGTATCACATAAGGAAGTGAAACTACCAAAATAGGAATGATAGTATCATATTCCTTGTAATGCATAAGAAACTGAAAGACCAAATCATGGCATTGAGTTGTACTGCAGAGGTTTATAAGTTTACTTATGGTTATTACAAAAAAAAATAAAAATAAAAAAAAATAAAATATAAAGATTACAAAAATAATAACCTCACATTGAAAGGATGAGCACAGGAGTAGAATCTGCATGATATTTTGAATACCATATCCTAAGATAATATTAATATAATAGTGCTACTAGCCTGCAGTTCCAGGTGTCCTGATAAACTAAAAATGCTAAGAGAAATCAAAGAGGCATTAATGCCTAATAGAACAAAAGCAATTATTTCATCTCCTCTGGTAAAAACTGGCTACATTTGGCCATATATAAAGAAAGATATCAAAATACCACTAAGAACTGAGCTGTTCACTCTAGACAGCAGAAAAGGAGATGAGTTTTTAATTTGATTGTATAATCAAACCTACAGGAGCTGGACAGGAACTAAAAGTGGTTGCAATTACCAACCTATAATTAAGTTTAAGATCAGTGAATGAACAATATGATTTAAAGCCAGACTGGACATTGCAACAATGCTTAAATGCTTAAACATGAAAGTGACTACCAGAAATGCAGTTGTTGCTTGAGTATGACTGCCCAATGAAGGACTACTCTGAACTTGCTGCTGATAAAATCAGATGCAGCTACATCATGAACACATACAACCTCTCCATTTTGGCCTATGACTGGTATCATACTCAGACAGGAATGTTGTGAAAAACAACACGCTCAGATAATAAATTGAAATTCAATGTCCACATGTCACCATAACAGTCCTAGTAAATTGGCTGCATTTTTTTTTATTACTAATAGTTGAAGTTGAAGCTATTACTGAAGCTATTGGAGAGAACAGGAGGGTCTTTCCTAAGTCCTCCTGGGTTTTAGATGGCAAATGTAATTTTCTTACACTGCGGTATTTTCTTTAGGTAGTGAAAGAAATGTTATATGCCTTTTTATATACATGTATACATCTATTCTTTTCTTCCATGTGATACAAAACTATATTTCTGGAGAATAGTCTTTTGCTGACAAGCACAATTCCAGCAGCATGGAAAGTAAATAGCTAGGATTTTGCATTAGTGTATTTAGATACATAATAATGTCAATAATAATCTGTCTATTGTTTGCCTTATTGATGTAACATTCCTCATTATACACTAGTGATTTATTTATACATGGTGAAAAAAAATATAAATTCATTTTCATTGTTACTTTTATCAGTTTGTTTTCTGGAAACTCAAAATATCCAACACTTTTTTTTCTGATAGAGAAAGCAATAGGAATTAATGTCTTTATCGAATCACAGCTGGAATGGTCAGTAGTTTGCTATTGTAGAATGATTATTCCACTTAAATTTGTTTGTTTTTAAAGATTGAAATAGCTTGAAACTGAGACTTTTTAATCAAACTTACATTTTTGGATGTTATAATTTTGCTATTCTGCTATTTTTATAATAAAAGTTGTTATTATTGTATTTTATTCTCTTATTTCAAAATAATTGTGATCAGCTGTAGAAGTGATAGAATTTTGCAGATCACAGTTCCTTGAATGGCCTGTATGACCAACATAATCACCAATCACCAAAAGACAAATAACAAATAATAGACACTAATAATTTTAGAAGAAACAATAGAGGGTGGGGTGTTAAGTGTGTGAATATATCAAACCTTCCAAGTATTCAGTATTTACTTGCAATATTAATTGCCATTATTAACACCATTAAGACAATAGACAGTGACACAATTTTCTATCCACCAAAGCTGGTGGAAGAAAATAGCCTGAATCTCTAAAACAAATGTATCATCTCCAAAGACTGTGATCACTGCTAGATCATTAATATAGAAAACAGTAGGAAATACTGCCAAATTAGGTGGGCTAAATAGCTACTAAGAGTATGATTTCAAATGCATTCTGACTTCCAGCTTAGTTTTTGAAAAAGCAGGCACACCACAAATTATTATTTTTCATGTCCTTTTTCTGATTGCACTGTGTTCTAGGTTATAGTTGATGTTTCCTCTGCTGACTTATACAGAACCTATGTCATGTCTGAAAGTACAGCCAAATTGCCTAAGATCTGTCTTTTTCTGTCATTATCTGAACTAGTGTGCATCTGCTTTTTGTATCTATAAATCTACAAGTGTGAATGCAGAATTTTTTTCCTGCTGTTCTGGACTTGCTATTTTTTTCTTTAAGCCAAAACTCTTAGAAATAGTTCTCATATACATACATTGGTATAAAATATCAGAGGTATGAGGTTTAATTTTTTGCAATAGGCGCAAGAGATGCTCTTGTCATCCTACTTGATAGTAAGAAGAGGAATTAAAAATGGCCATTTAATATACTTAATGGAGAATAAACTACTGAATGAGTTGAAGTAAGCCTGAGAAGGCGTGATAGTGAAGCTAACCTTGAAAACATTCTTATTGCATACAGGTAGTTTTACTTAAATTATCAATAAATAGATACATTACATCCTCTATTAATATCAACTCCACCACTCACACGCTAAAGGAATCAGTATCATGGGCAGGTCTAATGGTGTGATCACATGACATTTGCAGCTTCCCTCATAAAACAAGAGGCATTGTTTTTCTAAGAAATGGTCCCATCTATGAAATATGACTTTAGTGTCACCTACCTAGGCCATACTTGCAGATAAAATTGTGCTTCATGTTGCATCTGTCATCATTCCACTGATAAAGATATGGCCCTCCCAGACCAGGATTTGCAGTTGGCTGATGATACATCACAACACAGGCTTCACTTCCACAGGAAGGCTCATCTGTGTACCAATTTCTAGCAGTACACATAAATAAAAAATTTTAAAAGTTGATGATAAATTTCATCAGAACATCAAGGAAAACAGTTAATATCAATGAAGAAATGTCAACCCCAGTGGCCCCACCGTCTACAAAGATAAGCTGCATTTCCCACAACACCTCTGTGAAAGGAGTTCAGGGCCTAGGCTACAAATACCTGGATCTTAAAAATATTATTAATAAAAATCTGGCCAAAATCATCACTGCAGGCATAACATTCTGCTGCTTTCTTGCCCATTTTCATTCCCATTTGACTCTTACCTGCTCCTGTGAGCTGTTGTTATTCTGGCCTTTTTCTTAAGGAAAAGAAAGTTTTTTCAAAAGACAGGGTAAAACTGGAATGATTTGAATTAAATAACATGCATTAATTTACTTGTTGGCTGCCTGCCTGATCTGAGGAGGCCAGTCTTGCAGAATTTGTCTGAAATGGGAATAAAGACAATTTTAGACTGGACCTACACTATGCTATCCTTTCACAGATTGAAATTGAAAACCCTTGCTGCCAGCTCCCCTTTGGAGAATTTAAGGGGTCATGCTGTTAACTTCATGGGGCAGCAAGTCTTTCTGCTTCTTTCTCTACCGAAGACTTGCCAGGCATTTCACCCTCCATTTCTTTCCATGAAACCTTCTCAAGAAGCAGTTTTACAGACTTACCTGAATGGTGAAACACTTCCATCAGCCCACTGGTAGAGGTCAGGGCAAGCACTTGAGGTGGCTAGTCCATCACTGCTTCTCCACAACCCAATCCAGAAATCTCCATCAGAAATCCCGGAGCCTGACTTTGTGAGGTTTTGCAACATGTTCTCTATTAGTTGCTGCTCAGCTTCACTTTCTAAGCTCAGTAAAGCCCCACCATCAATTTCACAAGCTTGGCGGGCCTCCTGAAAACCCACACGTCTAGACAAGTCCTGGAAATAAGCTATCTTGTAACAAGAATGCTTGAAGTCACCATAGCACACCTTTTGACCTGAAAAAAAAAAAAAAAAGAAAAAAAAAGGTGGGTGAGTATATTAACAAATATGACAAATGAGAAGAAGAAGAAAAAAGTACAGCATAGCATGAATACAGTGATGTAGAAGGAGGGTAGACTTATTCTTAAGCACCTCTGTGGAAGGACTTACGGTGATAAAGAGACACTGCTGGAAACCTTAGCTTGAATGTAACATAGCTCATATCCCACTAGTACATAGGAATCTATGCCTTTCTTCCCAAGGTTTCTTAAACTGTCTCTGAGAAACTGAAAACTCCCACCGACTTCTAGAAAAATGTTCTCTTCTTTAATGACTGTACCATCAGGTACTTCGGTTAAAGCTAAGATTTGGAAAGTAGCTTTTTGTATCTATGTAATTGAAATGGGCCAGCTCCACTTCTATTTGGTAATCAAAACTATTTGACCAGGAAAAAGTTTAAACTTCTCAATTTTAGTGGCAGGAAGAAGCTAACACATTCTTGGTTCTGACCTTGAGAGGCTGCTTTTACAAGGACTTCATAGGTACTCTCTACTATAGCATCTCTACATCTCTAAATACAACCTCTAGGTGTATATGGAAAGAGAGCATTGGTTTATCTAAGGGTACCTGATCAATTACTTCTTCAGTGCAAAAAGGAATAACAAAAAAAAAAAAAAAAAAAAAAAAAGAGACATGAACAATATACATTAGCAAAACTGGCAGACAAATGTAATAGAGGAAAAGACAAGAAAAAAATACTTGTCGGACACCAGCTGTAGGGCAATCAAGAAACTCCACGTAAACAGGACTTAGCAACTGATAAGGATGCAAACCTGGGTGACCAGGATGTTGGGGGAGGGAGGGAGTCAGTGGGATGATGCACACTGGGGACTGTGCAGGGTTAGAGACTGGGGAGGAACAAGGAGGAAACAGAAAGGGGTATAAAAGCAGCTATTCATGTGTAAAATGGGGCCAGTCAGTATGCTTGCCTGACTGAACCCTGCACCTCATGACTGCAGTCTGTACTGTCTTCTTATTACATCTTTCCTTAATTATTTCTCCATGTATTTTCACTCTCTGTCCTGTGCATAGGTGTACTTTCATCATCAGCTCCTGGAGCAGGCAGCATCTCCAAGCCAGGCCCCTATCACCACCACCAGGAGTGGCGCATGTCCCAAAAAAAACAGCTTCTGGGGAAGACTAACCTGAGGAGAGTGCAGGGCTACATGCTGGCAGCTGGAGTGGGGCCTGTGCACCTGGTGACAGCTGCTATAGGGTGCAAGAGTCTGTATCTTCCCCAGCCTGGTGTGGGTTGGGTGTGCACATGTATTCATCATCAAACTTTAAGCTGAACCAGACAACAAGTAGCAGAGGCCTTAGGTCCAGGGCAAGGGCAGAGGTTCAGTGCTGGTATGCCCAAGGGGACTTGCAGATGTGGTGTAGATGAGGGATGAGTGTGTAAAGTGAGCTTCAAGCTGGGCCAGCTGGCAAGTAGGGTGCCTGTGAAGCGGGTAATGGGTCTGTGATCAGGATCCAGGCTGGGTGCTAAATACATAGAGGGACTGTGCTGGTACTTGAGGGATCCAGGCAGGGTGATGGGTAGAAAAAGGCCTTGCTGGTGCTTGAGGGATCTGCTAATGTGTGCATGCTTGTGAGCTTGAAGAGTGCTATGCGTGTGTGTGCACACCTGTTTTCACTAGGGCCCTTCTGTCTCTGTGAGCCTGAGGAGGAGCGGACACAGCTGTCTGTTTATCTATAACATGGGTCCCACATGTGGGTGCTGCTGAAGACAGAGCCTTGTCTGCAGCAGTCTGTGTGACCAGCCCTGTCTGTGTGTCTGTGGGACACATGCTCAGCTTTGCTACAGGTTGAACCTGTAAATAGGACAGCTGCAGCCACATCGCCCAGCCCTGGCAGGGACCCCAAGCACCAGGCTGGACTCCAAGGACCAGGCAGGAGAAGAGCAGGAACAAGAGGTGCTGGAGGTGGCAGCCACACTCCTAACACAGCCAACAGAAGCTCCAGACGTTAGCAGATATCGCAGTACTATCCAGATACCACAAAAAATCCCTAAGATGCTTTCAAAAATCACTCAATCTACTGCATTCACAAAGGTTTTCTCTTGCCCTTCAGAGTTTTGTCCGTAAAGAATAAAAATAAATAAATAAAAAGACAAATGATGAAATAATGTCTTTTCCTTCCAGTTATTAGGCTGAGAAAGACAGATGCCCTTTTTCTGAAATGGAATTTCAACTAGAGAGATTCTCTAGAGCTTATTCAACATATACAAGATGTGGTATGAGCAAGCTCACTTTGCTGCAGCTGGACTCCAGTGAGTTTATTTGGAGGACACGGGAAGGGTTCTAAAAAGTATGTAAGGAAATAAACTAAGCACCTTTTAAAAGATCAGTTTTTCCAGTCTGTTTTGTTACCATCGTGAAATAAACTCTCCTACATTTTTTCAAACTAAATAAGAATTATTCAAGGATACCAATGTAATAAGAACTACTAGACATTATCTAAATTACTTATAAACCAGACATTTTTTTATTTTTTTATTTTTTTTCCTGTAACATTGAATGTAGAAAGAGCCATAGTCCTAGCTGGGCAATGGTGCTGAAGAATCAAGGTGAAGGCACTTCATTACAGATGCATATAAAATAATGTGTTTCTTCATCAGACTGCTTTGAACAAAATGAAAAAAGACCCCCTATTATCAAAGTAAAAAAGTGATAAATCTAAATGCTCAAAAGTGTGAAGTACAAGAATGAAAGCTGCATATGAAATCACAGCTCAACTCGTTTATATATAATGTTGCAGTTCAAATTTTCCTAGTGTTAACACAACTTTATTTTTCCCAGGAGCTTTGTATCATTGACAGGACAGAGCACACAGTGAGGAAGGAGCTGTTCAACATTCTGATCCTCATCACTGGGTGAGTGACTATGGCTTATTGCCAGAGTACACATATGTACATAAGAGTGCAAGATTAGCACTGAATTATGTAAAACGGTAATCATTTATAAGCAAGTGGACCACACCCATCCCTGTAACTAAAGATTGAATTCAAAGCTTTAATTCAAGATGTATAAGCAGATTTAAGGAGGTTCCTTTGTCCATTTTGTCTTGCTGTTTCTATTTCCCAGACAATTTTTAGAAAAACTCCTATAGAAATCTTTCATTTGGTGCACATGTTCTCCTTGACATTAAGTAGTAAATTCAGGTAACAAAACAAGCAAATTCAGGTAACAAAATATCTCCAACAGGAGAAATGGGTCCTTGCTGGCCAACTGACCAGGTTTATTCAGTGTACTTGTTTTCCAGTCAGGTGCATGTGCCACTAGGAAATTTAGGGTGCCAACTAGCATGTGCCATTTCTGAGCTGCTATAGAGTGTGTGCCCATAAGCTCCAAGTTGCACTGTATGCTGATGCACCTTCCATATTGGACCAGTGTTAACAGCTCCATGACTGACACCAAGCTGAAGAAAACATGGGACTGTATAGAGCTGGGAGAAAGACAGGTACAGTGGCAGCAAACTGTGCAATAGGTGCTACTGCAACACTTGGTATGATGCTGTTTCATGAAGCCCAGTAACAGCTTGGCACTGTTAATGCACCCTGAGCCTTCTTGGCACCATCCAGAATACAGAAGTAAAGGCCTGGCCCGTACCCAAGGGTCTAAAATGGTTAGTGAAAGCCTGTGTGTGAAGATTTGTACACTATTATTCCTATATAATTCAGACTGATCTGAACCATTTTTTTGTAGACAATTTTGTTATTGTAGGTATTTGTGCATTGTTAACTCTAAAATTCATTATTATAAAACTAAAAAATTGAACAAGTGAAACTTCATATACAAGCCAACTTTTAAGTTACTTCTCTTTCATAGAATCATATCCCAAGTTGGAAGGAACCCACAAGAATCATCAAGTCTATTTCCTGGCTCCATACAGGACAATCCAAAAACCAGACCGTGTGTATGAGAGCATTGTCTAAATGCTTCTTGAACTCCAGCAGGCTTGGTGCTGTGACCACTGTCCTGGGTAGGCTGTTCCAGTGCCCTTTCATTTGTTGCCCTCTACACACACATATGCATAAAATAAAATTTAAAAAGCATTTCCACTTTACAGGCTGATCATTTGTGCAAGAATATACATCAAAACAAAAACAGAAAACAGCAAGCAGGGAAAACAGCAAGAAATATTTGTGCTTAAGACCTAACCTGCGTGAATGAAGTGTGATGCAGAGTAGTAAGCTTCCTGGAAGAAGCTGTGAATATTTTTTGTTCCAGTTAATTTAGTTCCTGTGTTTAGGTAATAACCCTCTATGAATCTTTTCTTTCTTCTTTTAAAGGAGACTTTTATCTGCTGTCGTGGAGCTAGTTCAATGTGTTAATGGCAATCTGCAGTTGTGCATTAATAGCTGGCAAATCAGTTAACATTTTAGTGCTCTTCTCAGAGCACACTGAGATGTCAAGCTTTCAAGCTTCATTTTTTACAGCTTTGTCTCACTACTATTTTATGAACTACAAAGCAGAAACAATTTGCTAGTGAAAATGACAGAATGCACCACACTGTAAAGGAGATAAGTATGGAAACATTAACTCTAGACTATTTAAACTTCTTCTAATATCTTTATGGCAGTCAACACTCTAATGTTAATCCTAAAGCAATATTTGCTATTTCAACATTACTTTAATTCCAATTTTCTATCACAACTGAATAGAAATAGTTTTGAAAACAAGTCTATTGGATGAATCAGGAAAAGATACCTATATTTATTCACTTTGCATAGTAAGTTAGGCCCTTGCAACCCTTCCACACTGTTTGCCCTAGGCTGTCTGAGATGAAAAAACAAACTTGAAAGAAAACATTGTTTCATCACAGCACATCCAGAAAGAAAAAAAGATGTAAATGTGTTTATTCCTCCCTTGAACAAGAGACCAAAGATCTAACTAATGCAATTAATAAGATCTAAGAATTCATTCTCACTGTTATACCTTACAGATGCTCAGAC